CTGGATATTCTTCAGCAAGAAATGACAGATCGATGTCAATTTGACATTCCAGGGAGAAATAGGAGATCGAATCGATTCGATGTCTATTCGAGTCTTATTTCTCTCTGGGATCATTTCGACTTCAATCGACGCAAGCCTCACTGTGTCATTATTTAAATTTTTATAATATTATAAGCTCGTATTAATTACAATATTTTATACTTCATATTTTGCAGACAAGACAATTGAGTCTTTTGGGAGGGAAAGACTATCATGATGTTATTTCATACATGATGAAACATATATTAACAAATACATTGGCAATACAATATAGTTGGGCTGGTACTAAAATGAAAGACCCATTTAAGAAGCTTCGCATTACAAAATGTATTATTGGTACGTATATAATCATAAACTGATATTCATTAACTGGTATTCATAGTTGAATCTTATATTCACGATTATATTAAGTAGAGACTCAAGATATCCTAAACTAATCACTAAGCAGTATTAACAACTAAAGACATTCTTGAAATAAGATCAGACTACAAATACCAGCCTCTCTCTATGGCTGGTTGTAGCTTTGGTTATAGCCAGATCTTTTATTTAAGAGCGTCTTAAATTTATCTGTAAATACTCTATAGCTAATGAAATGATTTATATAGTATGAACTTATGACGGTTTAAAATATAAGATCTGACTATAAGTAACGTCTTTAATTATTTTGTGTTCCACGTAATATATCGATTTAATATTAGAATTTCTACCACACTTTACATATGTTCTATCGAATTAAACAATTTTATTGACGAAAAGTCATTTATTTATTTAAATATAAATTGCAAGAAATAGTGGAATGAACTTTTCTATATTTCTTGCTCCTGAGATTATAAACCAAGAACTATCTAAAATTCTACAAACGTCGAGATAAGAAATACGTCTAATAAAACTTAATATTGTTAGATGCTACACGAACTCATAAAAACAATTTGATAGGACAAGGAGATAGAAGATTTGATTGCAAGATGGTTAATTTTAGCGAAACAGAAGTCTGAAAGAGAATTGTAAGTTATAATTCATATATCATTGACCATTTTTCCGCAAGAAACTCATATTACAACAACAATCATATTAGATATTACAAGGTGAATCTTAATGGATAAAGCAGCTTTTTATTTTATAGGATAGATTACCGACTAGACGTCCGTTCTAAAAACGAAATACTGTTTTGCAAAGGAATGTATTTTGCATGTGCAACATTACGATAAAAATAATTCTGTGAATGCAAAGTACGTGTACAGACATTTCCAAAACGAGTTTTAATTTTTTAATAGACATCCAGACGATAATGCAGCCCCAAGAATAAGTTGGTTCATCCATTAAGACTCAAGACCTTGTATGTCTAAAATGTATATATCCTCTAACATTATATATAGCCAATAAATCAGCTTTAAGTAATAGTGTTGTAACATAGCATCCTTTAATACAATATGGTCATAATTTTATTATCTATCTCTATTTTATTGTTTTTGCTATTCTTTATTTTTAAGTAAATATTTCTAGCATATTACCTTTAATTAAAATAAAAATAATGATATTTAAATCTAGACATTCTCATGATAATTTTTTTTAAATACGAGTATTTATACTTTCAACATACAGACAAAATACATGTATACATTCATGGTAAAAAATATTAATATTCATATTTAAATACTACAATAGAAAAGAATGTCCAGATTTAGGTATATTCTCAATATTGGTATTTTTAACTTATATATATGCATAAACATGTAACTTTTGAAATAAAACACTTAAGAATGTTTTGTACACATTTATAACACACTTATACTTTCTAATATAATATAAAAGTTACTTATATATACACATTTCTTTTTCTCAGACGAAAGGAAGAACGGAACAGACTTAAAGACAACGATTAACAACTTCCCAAAATGTATCAAAAGCTAAAATGTTCCTATTTTTCATATATTGGTTCTACCTATCTATTACGTTTTTTATTTTAATATTTTGTTAAAACTTGTGAGAAATAAGATAAAGAGAAATTTCGACGATAGGCAAAGGCAGCACTACTCACGCGGCGTAAGTGCACAAGTATTAAATTTATTTCATTTACACGTCGGATTTTTATTTTAATGTTTTTGAAGATTTATGAAAATTTACATTTTATGAGATTTGTGAAAATTTATATTTTATTACATGCGATTTAGATAGATATATTTAGCGTTCAAAGTATGCGGAATGATAATTTTAACTGTTAGTGACATTTTGTGTTATACCATTGTGATGCATACTAAAATCTTTAACAAACTGAACACTTGTGATAGTAAAACACTGTCAATATTATATCTGCCAAAGAATATTATAAGAAAGAGAAAATATTATAAGTATTTAAGGAGAGCATTATATTTACATCAGGAACTAAATTATTTCGTTGAAATTATTTCGTTTACAAAATTATTTGTTTTTGTTTAATAATTGATATAACAAATTTGTGTGTAATATGGTACATTTTATTATAATACTAATATTAGACGGGCAGAAACTATAATACGGAAATTATAAAATATCAATATTTACAACACCTCAATTAAAATAATTTCAATATTAAGTTCCTGATATATTATAAAAGTTTCTAATATATTGTAAAAGTTCCTGATATATTATAAAAGTATATTATAAAAATACATAAGTTCCTATATATTATTAGAGTATTATACAGGATCCCAGGGTGCGCAAGGCGTGTCTGGCGGTAGCCAGCCTCATGCGCACCCAGGGGGGTCTGGGTTGGATGGCACGTCGCCTGTATGTCACGGCCGTGCTCTCGGTTGCCCTATATGGGGCGCCCATATGGGCGCCCAGCCTCTTGGTCTGCCGGAGGGAAAAACGCTCCCTCCGACAGGCCTTGAGGCCGGTGTTAATAAGGACGATCCGGGGGTATCGGACCGTGTCATACATGGCGGCGATCACCCTGGCCGGTGTCCCGCCCGTGGAGCTCCTTGCCGATGAGAGGGCAATCCTCTATTGGCGGGTGAAGGAGCTCCGCGGGGAAGGGACGCTAACGGTCAGAGATTTGAAGGGCCTGAAACTCCAAGCCAGGGACCGGACCATTCGGAAATGGCAGGATGAACTGTCGGATCCGAAGGTGTCCGGTCCTGCAACGGCCGCGGCTGTCCGCCCCTGCCTGTCCGAATGGACGGGCAGGAGGGGACGTGGAACAACTTCCCACCTGGTGCAGATGCTGACCGGGCATGGTTGCTTCGGTCGGTATCTGCACCGGATCAGAAAGGAGCCCACCACTCGATGCCACCACTGCCCCATTCTCGAGGACACGGCGCATCACATCTTGTCCGCATGCTCGGCATGGGACGGGGAGCGCCGTGTCCTCGAAGGGATGGTGGGGTGCCGAAGGGGGGAGCTCTCGCTCCTGCGCATGGTTGCGGCCATGTGCGGGAGCGAGGAGGCGTGGGATGCAGCAGCCTCCTTCTGTAGAGAGGTCCTCTCGCAGAAGGAGGCCGCGGAGTGGGGACATCGACCGGGAGTGCGTCGCCTGAGGCGACGCACCGGTCGACGATCCCCCGGAGGAGGAGTCGGCAGCGGACCCGAGGTGGCGTCGGCCGAGGAGGATCCCGCCCGTCGGCAGCGACGGATCGGGGACTCCTCGGCCGCCTCGAGCCCGCCACCGTCCGCGCGGGGGGGGCTAGGGTTCACAAGAGGGTCCCCCTGGCCCCTCCCGCGCGGTTGGATAGGTAGGGCAAAGGGGAGCGGTGTCCCGGTTGAGGCCTGCTCCCCCAAAACCCTCCCCACTTGATAAAAATTAAGGAGGGAGGGTAAAGGAGGAGAGGTGGATGTCCCCTTCCTCCTAACAGGTGTGACCAGAAGGCCAACCGGTGGGGCAACCCACCGGGGACCGCGCCCTGGACTCCCTTGGTGTGACAGGGCGCGGTACGTTGATGGCGTGGGGCTCCCGGAGAGCCCTGGGGCAGGGAGGTTGAGGAGGGAATGCGGGAACAGTTCCTCTAACTCCCCACCCAACGGTCCGACAGGTAGACATCCCGCAGGGGTTTTAGTCAGTAAGAGTCCGACATAACCCCCTCCTCCCCCAAGGGGAGGGGGTATCTATGATGGATTTCCCCTGCGTTACCAAAAAAAAAAAAAAAAGTATTATACAGGATAAGCGATAATGAATGAATTAGTTTTTACCGTATGGGAAAAATTATCGACTGGATATCCATCCGAAAAACACAAAAACTGTTGAAAACGACTGTATATTTGTATGTGCAAAATTACAAAAATAATTTTGGACATTTCAAATACGTGTATAGTTATTTGCAAAGCGATTTTTCATTTTTCGAATAGACGTCCAGTTAGTAATCTGTCCCATAGGTTTAAATACTGGTTTGTCCATTATCGTTCATTCTATATAAATATATTTTGAAAAAAATATGTGAAAAAATATGTATATTTGATAAATAAAAAGATGTAAATTAAATATTGAAACTATACATTTATTTAAAGAAAACACCATTTTGTGATATCTATATTACATCACTGTGACATTTTTTTAATAACACAATGATATCATTTTGTGATATCCAAATTATATCATTGTGACATATATTGAATAATATAATGACATCATAGCGACGTTACATTTGTGACAAAGCGGATATTCACACATCAACATGACATCACTGATATATCATGTAAAATATCATTGTGATATCACTGTGACTTTTTTTGCTACGGGGGATATAAGACGAAAGTATGTAAGTACACTTATTATTCTTTTCATAAAAGTTAACTGTAGTTTAATACGATATGCAGTTTATTAAATCCAACTTAACCTCCAACTTAACTCACAACATTTTTTTGTCAGTTGCATTTAGAAATTCCATAATATCATTTCCCTAATTATTTTAAACATAAATATATATATATTCTGGTTTTCAGCGTGACACTTATGTAATTATTGCATAGTATATTATATTTTAAGAAAAATGTATAACGCACAAAACAAAAAACTTGTTTCGAAACGCCATGCTAGACGAATTATTGCGAATAATATTGCAATAGATATCGCAGGATCCTCTGGATTTGATTTAAATGAAAGTAGTGTCAACACGTCTAATGTGTCTGTTGATTTAGATTTACATGGTGATAAAAAAGATGTTGCGGAAGTTATTTGGAATGCATATGCTACTAATACAAATATTCCAACATCTTCAGTATATGATAGTAGATCTCAAGATAACAATATCCAAGTAAACAGTAATGAGTATCATAACTCTATTATAAAGAAAATAAACAATACTGATGATAATGATGATCATAATGATAATAATCACTTAAGAAACGCTTTAGCTACATGGGCTATATCGAATAATATTACTCATAATGCATGCAATGCATTGTTAAAACTGCATTGTTAAATGAATTGTTAAAACTGTTGCGTCAATATATTCCATATAACATACCTACAGATGTACGGACATTGTTACAGACTCCACGGAAAACAGATATTGTAAGCGCTTGTGGAGGACAGTACTTTTATTCAGGTTTATGTAATATTATTAAAAGTATGTTGTTGAAAGATAATGATAAATGTATTAATTTAATTATAAACATTGATGGTCTTCCGTTATCAAAATCGTCACAAGCTACCTTATGGACACTTTTATGTTCAAATACAGTTAATACGTCAGTATACCTTATTGGTGCATACTTTGGATACATAAAACCTACTGATTGTAATGTGTTTTTGCAACCTTTAGTTAATGACCTCATTAAGTTTATTAATAATGGCTACATTCATAGTGAAAATGTAATCAACATCAAATTATATGCTTTAATATGTGATATGCCAGCTAAATCGTTTGTATTATGCATAAAAGGTCATACCGGATTTAATAGTTGTACCAAATGTGTAGTCAAAGGAAAATACGTAAATGGTAGAATTTGCTTTCCATACAGAAAGAAATATTCTTTAAGGAAAGATGAATTATTTATGATTAATGCTTATCAAGATTTTCAGAATGGTGTTTCTATTTTAAATAATATTCTTCAATTTTTACCTCTTACCCACACTCCCTTAGATTATATGCATCTTATATGTTTAGGAGGAGTTGTTAAAAAACTAATAATGTTGTGGATGAAAGGTCCATTTTTTGTTTACATAGAAGATCTATTAATAAAATATCACATATCCTGATATTATTAAGAAATACTACATCGAACGAGTTTGTAAGAAGACCGAGATCGATAAAAGATGTTAAGCAATGGAAAGCCACAGAATTTCGACAATTTCTATTATATACAGGTCCTATTGTATTGAGATACATATTAAAAGAAGATATATATATTCATTTCCTTATATTACATGTTGCCATAACAATTCTCATATGTTCCGATTTATGCCAAGAATTAATTAATTATGCTGAAGCTTTACTTGATCACTTCGTCGCGTCATTTGAAATACTATATGGCAAACAGTATATATCACATAATGTACACAATCTTTTACATATATGTTCTGATGTAAGGACATATGGTCCACTGGATAATTTCGCTTTCTGCGAAAACTATTTGGCATCAATTAAAAGACGGCTACGGAAACATGACAAACCATTACAACAGTTAATTAAACGATATAAAGAAATTGAAAATTGTAATTTCTTACAGTCACAACAAAATAGTAGTAATAAAATATATTCATGTAAATATTTACATAGCAATGGTCCAGTACCTGACACTTTAGATGTTCAATCACAATATTGGATGCTGTCAAATGGACAATTTATTATAAATTGTAACAGTTATAACAATAATTGTTGTATATTAAAAAACGACATATATGCCTTAATTGTGAATATAGTGGAAAACAGAAATAAAGAACTCTTTATTATTGGTAAAAAATTTAAATTTATAAAAAATGTTTATGAATTACCATGTAAATCGAGCGATTTCGGTATTAAAGTAATGACAATCGATAGTGATATTATTTTTTTCTGGCACATTACAGATATATTATATAAAGCGTGGAAAATTCCTTATGGGAATAATCGAAACATGTTTGCAATATTTCCTCTTAACTATACAATATGATTTTGTGCGTTATGTAATTTGAACATATTTCCTTTGATATAATATAATATAATATAATGCAAAAATATACTATACGTTTTTGTGATGTCGATCATATTACAACATAGAGAAATGGACAACAGCAAATTTGTAATTGTGGAATTCAATGACGGACTGCAGTTAATACCTGCAGCATGGTATAATGATAATACATTCACCAGCATTTGGCCAAGTCATCTTAAAACTAAATTTAGAATTACTAAAGCTATCATAGCAAGAGAAATGCCACGGAACAAATCAGACTAGGAGGAATTAGAGGTGAAAAAATTCTTTTGTTTTGCAAGTAAGTGAATTATATGTATCTTAAATTTCTATTTATATGTATATATGTTTATAACTTTTTATTATGTCTTTTTATATTTTACTGTTAACATTTTAGATAGTTATGAAGACAGCATGGCAAAATTAGTTCAAGCTGAAGATATATCACATATAGATGATACTGGAATATCATCTAATGAAATGAGAGAACGAGAAGAACAGAGAAGACGCATTAAAGCAAAGAAACATATTCAATCTTCTCCTGAAGAGTCTGATTTCGAGTTCTACAACGATAAAGAAAATAATATTAAACACGATAAAATTTTGCCTACTCTTCCGCAGAAGGAACATTTCATATCAAACTGCAAACAATTATTGGGCACATCTATGCAAAATACTAAGCATGTAGTACGTGAAAACAGTATGTTAAATGCAGTGAGCAATAACGGTAAGTATTATAATTATAATTTGCCATATAATATTTATAAAATATCATATATTTCTTCTCCGTTGATATACATATAATAATAATCCTATTGTTACAGTTACGCCACGTATAGAACAATCTGGTATAGATGGTGAAAATGAAAACCTGTATTCTTGTGGTAGGTTTTACTTTGTTAATATTTTTTATATACTAAAAAATTGTACAATAACTATATATTGTATGACATTTTATAGTAAACAAATGCGCTATTTATTAATGTTAACTATATATTTATTTCAGAATTTAAAAAACAGATTTTCGGAAAATTAAATAAAATATTATACAAAGTGGAGACTATTGAAATAAAATTCAATATATTTCAAGAAAAGATAGATTCTTTTAATCAATCTTGCATTGATGAAGAATGTGATATTCAAATCCCAATATCGACATTGTCAGAATTAACTTTCTTTGAAGAACAATTACAAGAAAAGAGATTCAAGACCAAGTGGTATGATATATATATTTCTCACTATATATATTTTGTTATCTCATACATTTATTATATATTTCTATGATATATATTTTTTACATATTTATATGTATTTTATTTTTTATTTTTTAGTTTTTATTTTTTAGTTTTTAATGTTATTATAGAATGTGCTTTTTGATGCTTAGAATATTATTACAGTTACACGCAATTTTAATCTTTTTCATATTGTTTTTTCATTTGTTCGTGACAACTATAATATATTTCTGATACATTTATAATTACAATGCAGAATATATTTAGTTAGTTTTTACTGAAATTAGAATACACTATTATTTAAACAATTATTTTCTTTATTTAGCTCAATAATTTAAAACGCTTTGGTGGAAATAGTGCTCATATTATGATAAGAAATATAATGAAAAGAGCAATTACAGATAATTTAGCTCAAAATTTTAGTTGGGCAGGGAGAAAGAGTAAGCAAACATTTAAAGACTTAAGACTTGCAAATATTATTATACATAAGTATTATATATTGTTTATAATAATTTTCTTAATTTGAGTTCATTCCAGTTATAAATTTGATTATATATATAGGGTGTCCCAGATCTTTAACACACGGACTCTATAGGGACGTAAAGCTAAGTGAGAGGAACAAAAAAGTCCTCTACTATAATACGAAAATCGTAATAGTTTTTTAATTATAACAACGCAAGGTTTGGCGTTTTCTACGCCCAGCGCGGCCTACAGACGTTTTGCAGCTAGCTATGTGCGTGGGGGCTGAGCGGTAACGCAGCTCGCGCTGACTATCACAATAGCGGCGTCTTGGCGCCTTAACGCTGCCGGTGTGCGGTTAAAGTGCCAAGACGATGCTATCGCGACAGTCAGCGCGAGCCGCGTTACCGCTCAGCCCCCACGCACACAGCTAGCCGCAAAACGTCTGTAGGCCGCGCTGTGCGTGGGAAACGCCAAACTTTGTGTTATAATTAAAAAACTATTACGATTTTCGTATTATAGTAGAGGACTTTTTTGTTCCTCTCACTTAGCTCTACGTCCCTATGGAGCCCATGTGTTAAAGATCTGGGATACCCTGTATATACAATACGTATATATATTTTCATATTAACATTTGAAATTGAATATTGTAAATATTGCAGAAGCTGTTCGTATGTCGTTTAAAGAAGTGACAGATAACGACATTACAGAATATGCCTCAAAATGGCTTGCCCAAGCTGTTGTTAGACTTCAAAGAAGCAAGAGTTCAGGGTAATAAAAACGGAACATTTAATGAATAAGACTGCACGTGTGTGATATAACCAGAGATATATTTCTCCTTTACTTATTCGTTAGTCGTTTTGGTTTTTATATTAAATGTATACAATACGCTGCGTTGTTTAGTTTAGTTTACTTTGTTTAGTTGTAACAGTTCAGAGAAATATGAATAGAATATTTAATGAACACGTTTGCACATATATGATATAACTAAAGACGTATTTGTTTTTCACACATTCGCTAGTCGTTTTGTTTTTACATTAAATGTACACGATATGATGCATTGTTTAGTTTAGTTTATTTTAGTTGTAACAGTTCAGAGGAATATTAATAAAATATATAATGAACACGTTTGCAAATATGTGATATAACCAAAGACGTATTTTTTTTGTACTCATTCGTTAGTCGTTTTGGTTTTTGTTTAATTTATACGTTATATATTGTTTATTGTAGTTACACACACATATATATATATAAAATATGTAATAAAATATTTCATAGAAATTTCATAAGCGTTCTACAATGATTTCATCTAATATATTATAGCTATTAAGTTGACATATATAAAATACAAAAAAATTACTAGAAATATATATATATTTCAATTTTGCTATAATATTATATTACAATGTTGCTACAATATTATATTGCAATATTACTGAAAGCGGACATTTTGACATTACTGCGATCTTGCAGCAATCTTGCAGCAATATTTCGCAATGCTTCTGCAATGTTACAATCTTGCAGAAAAACTGATACACTTCTGATAGATATTATTAAAAATTACCCATATATTTTCGATAAAAGTATGGCAGATTTTAAAAATGTAAACAAGAAAGAACGTGCATGGATGGAAATTTCTTCTATTTTAAAATTATCAGGTAATATCTTATTATATAATGTATTTTATAATTATTAATATAGAATATTCTTATAGTTTCGTATCCTGTATTAATTAATTTTTTTTTTTAGTTGAAGATTGTAGGAACAGATGGCAAAGGTTGCGAGAGAAATTTTCTCGTGAAAAAAAAGCTAGACTGTCAGAAAAGCGAAGTGGCAGTGGAGCAGTAACAAATCGATGCAAATTCTTATTATATGAAAATATAAAATTCTTAGATACATTTGTTAAATCAAGAAAGTAAGTTAATTGATCTGTTTGCAGAATGGTATTAACTCAGATAGCCAAACCCGCAAAAGCAGAATCCCACAGCAGATCCACAGCCTACTGTGTCCGCATTAAGCTCGTGTTTTATGGACTGCTTTCGACCAGGCTTATTCTCTCTGGTCGGACACAGTTTCTGTCCACAGAACACGAGCTTAATGCGGACATAGTAAGCTATGGATCTGCTGTGAGATTCTGCTGTTGGCAAACTTGGCTATTAGAGTAAATAATAAATATGTTATTTTCATATAATTATTTTAATACTTTCAGGACTTATACGAATATAAAGTCAAAAGAAACACATTACAGTCCTTACATGTTTAAAAAAACACCTATTATGCAACGTGACATTGTTTTACCTATAAAAAGGTATATAAGTGCTACTTTTGTAATAAAGCTCTTTTCTGTCTATAAATTAATAAATAATTTTATTTACATTATGAATATTTATACAAATAATGATCTCAGCAAATATAAAATAACAGTTATATAACTGTTATAGTTATAATTTCCCACTCGAAAGTATAAATGCAATATAAGGCGTGTGTTATATAACAGTTATATTTTGCGTTACTTTGTATTTGCTAGAATATCTATTATAAAATGTTAATAATTTTTAAAATAATTTATATAATTTGGAAACTGAATTTTTTTGAATATCTATTGAAATAATATCTTCTCAGCATGGCTTCTTCTTCGTCCTGTGTAAACACTACCTCAATAATGCTTGAAAAGAATAACCTGACTATATTGGCAAAAGATGTAAATCCAATCCCAGAAGAGACTACGACACTTTATCCTAATGCTTTATCATCTATTCCAAGCAATAGTATTTTACTGCAACATACTCTACGTTCATCCAGTATAAGCATTCAAAATCTTTCAGAACTAACATCAAATCAATGTCAATCATTACCATCAACATTATTACCATCGACGTCCGCATCTTCATTTGTACCTATATGTTCAGCGCTATCCTTATCAAATACAAAAACAAGTGAAGCCTTATTACAGACTCAAAAGCCGTACGTGTCAAAGAATAAGAAGGAAAGCAAACCAAAAAATACAACGCAGAAAGTAGACAAAATCGAGAAATCATTTATAAATTTGTCCTCAATTATATCTGAACATTTTATAGAAAAGGAAAAAATGGACGAAAATGATACTTTTGGATGTACTGTTGCATATCAATTGCGAAAAATAAAGGAACCGCGGAAAACGGAAATAAAAGGAAAAATTATGAAAGTTCTGTATGACTACTAAAATATGTGTACTAAAGTACTAAAGTATATGTGTTTATATTTGAATATTTTATAAAAATGTTAACGTTTTATGTTTTATATAATAATATCAAATTATATTTTATCTAGATAATAATAAAAAGGAATAATTAATCATGTTAGTCTTTTTATGCGTATAAATACTCTTGTATATGTGTCATGAAATTTCGCCTGTAGGTGATAATAGATATTTAGTTAAAACATCTCGTTGCTCGTATGCTTCCCGAGTTGCTCTGTGTACAGTACAAGGCCTAAAATTTCTCATATTAGATGTTGCACTCCTCCATGTTCCAAGTATCATTCCTTCCATATTATCATGGTCAATAAAATTTGGTGGACAGTATGTTTGTTCGCATGGTGGTTTCTTTGCATTCTCTGTCATTAAGAAATTATGTAAAAGTATACATGCCATAACAAATCTATCAGCAGTTGATGGATGAGCACATATTGGACGAAGAAATATTCGCCATCTAGACGCTAATATACCAAACGCATTTTCTATTGTATGTCTTGCGCGCGACAAGCGATAATTAAACATACTTTTGTCATCACTTAAACATCGGCTAGAATATGGACGCATAACATTTTTATACAATTGAAAAGCTTCATCAGCAACTACAAAATAGGGCAATTCCACGTCACATCCTGGTAATTTCTTTACTTCGTGTGTTATATCAAGTGTGCGATCATATAATGCTCTTCCAAATAATGATTTGGATAAAACACCTGCATCACAATCACTACCAAAGGCACTAACCAAGGCACGTCTACCAAGGTAAACTTATATTCGTGATCACATACGGCCATAAGCACTATACTGAAGGTTTTCTTATAGTTAAAATATAAGGTGCCGGATTTTGGTGGTGCTTGTATTTGGATGTGTTTTCCATCCATCGCTCCAATTGTATTTGGAAAATTCCAATTTTCCCAGTATCCTGTGCTTATATTTTTTCATTCATTCAATGTCGGTGGGCTAAGATATTCAATATTAAGAATATCTGAAATTATTTCGCATGTTTCTGAAACAATATTGTGAGCAGTTGATATTACAATCCGATATGCTAGCGCTATAGATGTCATCTAGTCACCTGTTGCGAGATATCTATTTTCAACACAAAAAAATATTGTTTTATTTTGCTATTGTAATAGGAGAATTTATATTCAAATTTATATATTTATCTAAGTGTGATAATCAGACGTTGTTTTGGAGGTAAAGCTCGCCAATTAGATTTTTGTAAGTGTGGTCTTATCTTGCTTAATAATAAATTAAATATCTCTTCATTCATACACGTATATTTAAAAAACATATGTGTATCGTGTTTCAATTCTTGGAAAAGGTGGGCGAAATCTCCTTGATAATATCTCATATCATTAATCGGACGAACCCACCACTTTCTTTTACATTTCTTTGCGAAACGACGACGAAACGACCTGCGTAATACATAATACTCTACATACAAAAGAGCACATAACTCTTCATTTTCCATTTTCAAAGTTTAATGCGATTATAAAACACAATATATTATTAGAATATTTGCCAGGCTTAAAAAAATTCACAATATATGTATATAGGAATGTTTTTATGATCACATACTAAAGCGATATTCTTACAGACTAACGCATTTGAATGGCTGCATAAAATGGCATAATATTGCATGCAGATTGAGAAATTTATGGTTATGTTTATGCACATGCATATGTGGCTATGTAAATCCGTCTGGATAGGCCTTTACATATCTTTCTTATGCTTATGCTATGTTATGCTTCTGTTCTATGCATTTTGTGTGCGATGGCCTTTACAGTTATGTGAGCTATTTAAAGTGCTGGAAAGCAGCCACTTTATGCGACGCAAATCATGAGTAAGCGTAATATGTAGAGATACATTTCATATATAAGCAGTAGTACAAGCTAGTGTCGCAGTAAGTATCCATCGTTTCACGACGTATCATTTGTGAGCGCAAGTTTACAAGTACATATTGCTTTCTCTCTATGTGTGTTTAAAACTTCTTTTAATACATTCTTTGTTAAATACATAAGTATTTGTTACTAACTGATATTATTATTTTATATTTATTATTACATATCTTGTCACTCTCTATTTTATATTATTGGAATTGCAATAGTTTGTCGAGTTATCAGTAATGTGATAATATACGAAAAAATGGAGCGAAATTGAGCAAGAGTTAAATTATAAATTATATATAATAATGATTAATAATCAAAGAAAATTTTTACTAATTTGAAGAAAAAATATGTGTAGTTTTTCAATTTCAGAATATCTACATACGTAAATATAGAGCTGTCTTTCCGTTTTCACGACATTAATTTATTCTGGATTCATTACATATATTTGATTGACAGAGAGAAGAAGCGGCATCAGGATTAACATAAGAAAATCACTGCATTAATTATAAAGTGTGTTTTATTTTATATATTATTTTATATATCATGGTTCGAGAAAAATATTTCATTTTAATATTTTTCAGAATGATGCAATTTAATCCCTTGAATGTTATAATGTTACTCTATACAACTTTCATTGCTCTTAACTTTCCACAAAGTCCGATAACTCCAAAAGAAGTAGAAGTGAAGGAGAAGATTGAATATTTGTTAAAAGAAATAGAAAATGAGGAATTTGAAATATAAGAGGAAGAAACTTTAGATTTTTACAATACATATGAAGTTCCAGAAGCGGAAAATATTGATTTATTAGAGAAAAATGAAAGAAAAGAATATCTCCCGGAAGAAGTTATTTGTAGCTCCGTTGAAGCAGGAATATCAAATGATTATAAAAGGCAAGCTGTGAAATACTGGAAGAGCGGTAAAACAGGAGCAAGATCGCTTGAAGGAGTTAAAAGAAGATACAGAAAAGTAACATCGATGCGACAATTACGACGATGGAAGGACCAAATCAGTGCAGGTAGCAGCAAAGATGAAAAATTAAAAAGAATTTCTGAATATATAACAAACCGTTTTAATGAAGCGTTTGAAAATAGAATAATTATTCATGACATTGACATTGCTCGATGGGCTTCTCGAGCACAAGAAGAGAAAAATGTGGTAGGATTCAAAGCTTCCGAAACGTGGGTAAAAAGATTCAAAACTTTATATGATATCGTCTCTCGAAAAATAACCAAATTTGTAACAAAAAAATCATTGTTATCGAAAACAGATTTAGAAGATAAGTGTAATACATTTATTGAAAATGTAAAATATTATATTGAACGATACGGCGTAGACAATGTTTATAATTCGGATCAGAGTGGATTCCAACTTGAATTTCACTCTGGTCGTACTTTATCCCAAAAAGGTCTAAAAAATATAGAAGCTGTAATACAATCTACATCAGCAACCATACACAGTTATACTATACAGCCGACTATTTCTGCAGATGGTAAAAAATCTAAGGTAACTATTCTTTCTATAAAAAATAACCTAGACAGCACAAACTTCCAAAAGACATCTAAAGATATACAGATGTTTTTACATCTTTAGCACATTTCCAAGTTGTATTTAAAAATCTTACTCGAAGGATAGAGTAACATTTACTTGACTAATTGACAAAGATTTTTTTATCATTATTGATTAATAAACGTTACTCTATCCATTGAGTAGGGCTTTGGATAGTAGCCCAGGATGTTCCCTTACAAATTTATGCTGTCTGGATAACTCTTCTCTATTATAAATACAAAATATTTAATATTTACAAAATTTTTTATTTTAGAAAATAAAGTTGTCTGATCCAAGAATCAGTACCAAAGATGATACATCTAACAATAATGACTTTTTATCTAGTAAAAATATATGTCAATTCAGGCAGTTGGATAATTCCAATATAGAATCAGATGCAGATTCTGTTTCAGAAGTCTCGTCATTATCAATTAATTTAAATAAATGTCGACAACCACTAATTAACGAAAGTTTTTCGAAAATTAAATCAATTTCAGGTATATTTTTTAACTTGTAACAATTCATATTCATGTTGGACCTTGATATATTCAAAATTAAAATAAGAATATATAATTATTACATAATAATTATAGTAATAATTGGTGTCTTTATTTTAGATAGAGGAACAAAAACACATAAAGTAACCAATGAACTGTTATACATGATTTATAAAGACAATATGCCATTAAATACTACTGAAAAAGTAGGATACAGACATTTTGTACAAAGTATAGAGCCACTGTATAAAATTCCAGGAAGAAAGCAATAACGTCTATGATAGATGACAAATACAGTACCAGCCAAAAATTTATCACCTTCAGGGTTTTTGACCATAACTTCTTTCACAGTAAAGAAAATAAATTCAAATTTTTACAGCAGATAGCTGGTATCATGTACACTGTGTGTAATGTATGAGTAAATTTGACATCATATACTATGATTTTCAAAGTTATTTATTGATTGTCCCAAAATCATCCGTTGACAACCTTTGTGTACTCGTTATGTTTATGTATTCTATCGCTACTTCTACACCGCTGTAAACATTCGTTTAGTATCTTAGAAGATGGCGAAGAGTCGTGGTGTTCGAAATGTGGACGAACGACAACGGAAATGCGGGAGTTCCCCTAACTCCCCTCACAACGGTCCGAATGGTAGACATCCCGCAGGGGTTTTAGTCAGTAGGAGTCTGACATAGGAGGAGTCTGACATAGGAGGAGTCTGACCCTGGGGGGGTCGGGGGTATCCATGATGGATTTCCCCTGCGTTACCAAAAAAAAAAAAGAGGCATTAATAGACATAACTGCCATTATTATTCAGATGCTAATGCACATTGGCAGAGAAGCCAAGAGTTCCAACGGCAGTGGTCCATTAACGTTTGGGCAAGCATCCTGGGAGATATTATTGTTGGTCCATATTTTTTTGAAGAAAATCTCAATGCGACAATCTATCTAAGATTTCTTCAGGATGACCTGCCCAACCTCTCGAGACATGTCGACAATGATTTACTCAGACGAATGTGGTTCCAACAAGATGGAGCACCGACTCATAGATCTCGAGCTGTTACACAATATTTAAACAATAGATTCCCGAATAGGTGGATTGGTATGGGCAGCCGAGTTCAAGAATGGCCCCCAAGATCACCCGACTTGACACCCCTAGATTGTTATTTCTGGGGCTACATTAGAGATATAGTTTATTCGCAAAAGCCTACAACCGTTGAAAATATGAAAAACGGGATCAGACAGGCTTGCAGAAATATTAATGTAGGTGTTCTTGAAAAAGTTAGGGACGACTTTCACCATAGACTAGAGCTATGCATACAAGTAAATGGCCAAGTTTTTGAACACTTTAAGTAATTGTACACAAAAAAAGATCTTGCCTTGACTGGTTGGATCGTGCTCGGATCTTGCCTTGACTGGCTGAATCATGCTCGGATCTTGCCTTGACTGGCTGGATCATGCTCGGATCTTGCCTTGACTGGCTGGATCATGCTCGGATCTTGCCTTGACTGGCTGGATCATGCTTGGATCTTGCCTTGACTGGCTGGATCATGCTCGGATCTTGCCTTGACTGGCTGGATCATGCTCGGATCTTGCCTTGACTGGCTGGATCATGCTCGGATCTTGCCTTGACTGGCTGGATCATGCTCGGATCTTGCCTTGACTGGCTGGATCATGCTCGGATCTTGCCTTGACTGGCTGGATCATGCTCGGATCTTGCCTTGACTGGCTGGATCATGCTCGGATCTTGCCTTGACTGGCTGGATCATGCTCGGATCTTGCCTTGACTGGCTGGATCATGCTCGGATCTTGCCTTGACTGGCTGGATCATGCTCGGATCTTGCCTTGACTGATTGGATCATGCTCGGATCTTGCCTTGACTGGTTGGATCATGCTCGGATCTTGCCTTGACTGGTTGGATCATGTAAGATAAGACTATCGGAAAGTGAATGTTTTACGAAATATTTTGTATTTTTATCAAAATTTTGTAAATTTGGAGCTTTATAACTCGAAAAGTACTTCACCAAAAAACATTTGATTACAATGTTTTGGGAAGCTCTCGAGGTCAGCTACAGGAATATGTAATAAAAAATAGGGGGTGCCATCTAAAAAAATTGAGGTAACCTTCACGTGACCTTTAATGCCTGTTTCCTCCAAAGTGGTTCAATCCTGAGTTCCTGTGAACTGCGTTCAATTGTGAACGGAGTTTAACTTTCAGTCAACTTATTTTGCTTTCCATCAACTTTACCTTCGCTCCGATCAGCTGAACGTATATCTTATGTGTGCTAATTAAAATTATGTTTGTACCGAGTGATATGATTGGTGCATAGCACTAAGAAGTGTATAAGTAGTAGTGTGAATATTAGGGTGGTCCTTATTTACTATTAATCAAAAATTTTTTTCCGAATTTTTTCCGCGGCACCCTCCAAAAAGTTTCCATTTGACAAAAAAATTCCATTTGACAAAAAAATAATTCCTGCCAAATTTCAGTTTGATCAGATAACGGGAACCCGTGCCCCCGGATCGTTAAACATTGGAGGACCCTTGTATTAAGCTTTCTACGTTATCAGTGTTGGTTTTTAAAGCATATTCTCCACAAAAATCGGCCTAGAGGATTTTTCTTTTTTTCTTGCGTCGTTTGAAATCTTATAAGTTTTATTTAAACAATTACATAAATTGTTAATGAATTAAAAAAAATAATTATTGCATATTTGAGCTGAAAAAATTATATATGGGCTACAAAGTTGTAATAGTATATTTAGAGGATAAAATGAGTTTAAAACATGATAAATTTAATGTTTTCATTAATAAAGCGATTTTAAAAATTAAACGTTACATAATAATTAATAATCTGGAGGCTCCTAATCCCAAAAAAGAAATAGCATACTTTCGGTAAGAAGTCTTTCTTTCTATCGAAGGCTGTTTTATTCGTGGTTATGTGGTGGAAATAAAGCAGCCTTCGTTAGAAAGAGACAGACTTCTTATCTAACTCAGAGCTCAGCGTACAGAGCCTGCGTCAGGCGTAGTGATGCCTGTTTTGACATGCACAGTGCGGGGCATACACGTACACAGCTATTTACTTGTGTGCGTATTCTCTCTACACGTCTAGTCTACACGTAAAGTATCAAAACTGGCTTCACTGATCAGGCGTATGTTTACCATAATTCCTGTTTCGCTCTTGAAAAGTGAACAGTGTAATTTTTCCTGTTTGATATATGTAAGATTGACAATGACTTCGGGAAATAATTTGCGTGATAAGATATATATTATTGGAAATTATTCGCAGCAGATTATTGGGAGCAAATTGCCCTCTAACAAACAAGTTTTGAGTGTGTTATTTTACAATTTACGATTAGTAAAATTGAATTTACGAGATAGTGCGAGATTGGTGATACAAGAAGTGCAAATTTTCTGGGACAAAGCGCGAATCCCGACTAAAAAAATGAAGCATACTGTTATCATCAATGTGATATGTAATATTCATTATTATAATACTGTATATATTTCCAGAACAAATAAAAACCTATGAAGCATCCGACGATGTACAATCATACGATATACCTATAGTAATGGAAAGTAAGTACACATTGTTGAAATCAACAAAAATAAGTTTTAACAGTATAACATTAATATGTCTAAACATTGTAGGTTCTTCATTGTATGCTTCATCTGCAGAGGTACAAGAAGATCCAAATATAAAAAGAATGTATTAATGTACAGAGTGTTCCGTAACTCATCAAGCAGCCGCAGTGTACAGGTAGAACGGATAAAAATAATCAGAAAAGTTACATACCATGTTGTAATTTTATCAATATTTACTTTGTAATTAATTAAGATATATAAACGAATGAGCGCACGGGAAGCGGTAGAATGGGCTCTATGTGCACAAAAATTCGCTTACCTCTTAGTAACGATGAGTAACAGTTGATTTGGAGACGAAATGACATGCAGTATATAACACGGTCGCGCACCGAAAAATCAACTGTTACTTATCGTTGCTAAGAAATAAGCCATTTTTTTTTACACAGAGCTTATTCTACCGCTTCCTATGTACTCATTTGCTTATATATTTTCATTAATTACGGAGTAAATATTGAGAAAATTACAAAATGGTATATAATTTTTTTAATGATTTTGACCTATTTGTACACCGTTATTTGTTCTATCTGTACATCGCGACTGCTTCACAAGTTACTAGATACTCTGTACACACACACACACACACACACACGCGTGCGCGCGCGCGATGGTTAATAGTGAAATAGTAGCAACAAATAAAAAAATGCAATACTTTATTTTAATGATATTTAATATTAAATTTTTTTCCATATAATATCATGTTCCACAACTTGTTCAAAGTTTGTGGAAGTAAGTGCATTCCATCACCGCAGTATTTTTTTTTAATATCCGCGATGGAATGCCCTGTTGCTTTAAACATTTTTTGCATATTACAAAACTGTGCACTTATGATGAGTTCTTTAATTTTAGGAAATAAGTCTAAGTCCCTAAAAAAAGAGTCATTCCATTAATAAGAAAGATGTTTCAATATTTTTTATTGTCACTTTTGTCCAAACTTTTTGCCATTGCTGGTGCTATTGAAATTGAACCAAAAAGTAAACTACTTTTATTGATATATATCATAACATGTCTTCAATGCATTCTTATATTATGTCCTATGCTTCTTTAAAATTTTACAGGTCATCAGATCCTATTGTACTCGTATTAGATAATGTATCGATGATTGAGAATTGGATTGAACATTAGATTTCGACGAACTTCGATCATGGTTACTTTTATTCCAATTAATCTAATTTTAACCTTCAATTCACAGTCTTCAATCTCCAATCCCTAATCTAATTAGGCATTTAAGAGAATATTTGTAATTTATAAAAGATGTTTTGACAATTCACACACTCCGTCACTGATATCAATTGGAATAATTCTCCTAATGGAATCCGGTGCCTCGTAAAATTTTAAAAAGGCACAAAACAATATAAAGATACATTGAAGAAAAGTAATGATACATATCAGTAAAAGTAGTTTTGCTTTTGGCTACTACTTCAATAGCAGCTATTATATATGTGTGTGCGTATATAATTTGAATTACAAATATCTAACATTATTTTGTATTTTATCTATAACATACTTTATTACTTTAGTAATAGGTGTAACATTAGTTATTGTATTGCAGAATATTTAAAAGAAATGTTACGTATGCAAGCAACGTCGAATTTAATATTACAAGATTTGAAACAACGAGTAAGCATAATAGAAGAAGCAATGACGACTCGCACTCCCGTTTTAAGGAACAGCGATTAGAACAGTATAATCGCTGTTCCTTAAACAGTATAAAACTCTAGTAAAAAATTTTACTATTACAAACAATTGAAAGCATACGAGACTTTGAAGCGTTATTACACGATACTGATGAAGCAGTAATACAATTCGTAAGTTTTTACATTAATTTTACATTAATTCGTTCATATCACATAAATTTTCCTTGTGTATGTAGATATTAAATCCTGAAATTATTTCAATAGTAGTTTTATTTCGATACTGTATTATTGCTTCGCTGTTTGCAATTGCTCTTTTTTAGTGTACATTTTTAAAATTTGTTAGTATACATCATTACATATTGGTTTTTTTTCAGTGTTATTGAAATAAAGTGTTTCCATAATAAAATATTAAATTGTCTAATTTCTGTTTATAAAAAGACTTTCTATTCAAAATAGGAGGAATTAATCCTCGGGATAATATTCATCGCACTCTGTCAAAACTATTCACAAACGAGTGCGCTCTTAATTGTTCGTGGAAAGGCATTCGTAATAATTTTAAAGTCTCCGATTTATATTTCATTAAAATAATGAGAAGTATGTTTTACACGTTATTAAAAGCATCCGTTAACCAAAAATTATTCCAATATTTTATATATATTAACACATTAATTTTTTTCTAGGAGAAATTACTTTACAACATTCTAGCTTTACAACAGCTGCTGCAGAATATGGTATTAGTAAAAGAACTATTTGTTACAAACTGAAAGGAAAACACGAATTGAAGCCTGGTAAGCCGACTGTTTCTTCTGAATTAGAGGAGGCTGCCTTTGTGAAATGTACAATTCAAATGAGTCAATTTGAATTCCCTATCTGCGAAAAAGACTTACGTCACATCATGAAAGATTATCTTTTAAGAATCGGAAGAAATGTTAAGTAATTCAAAGACTCATCTTTATATTGTTTTGTGCCTTTTTAAAATTTTACGAGGCACCGGATCAGTCTATCCAGGTGCTGATTTAATCAAGGGTTTTTTACGGAGACACCCAGAGCTGACACAAAAATTTGTCGCCAATATCAAAAAAGTTCGTGCAGAAGTCAGTGAAGAATCCTTGAGAGAATATATTCACCATGTTTCTGTAACTCTCCAGAATGTACCCCCCGAAAATATTTATAATTATGATGAAACAAATCTAACGGACGACCCTGGCTCTAAAAAATGTCTGGTAAAGAGAGGCTGTAAGTACCCTACTAACATAAGAAACACTTCTAAGTCAAGTATTTCCATCATGATGTCAGGTAATGCAGTAGGTGAACTTCTCCCACCATTTGTTGTATATAAGGCCACTAACCTTTGGTCAACTTAGTGCGAAGGAGGTTCCAAAGGCACAAGATATTTCACCGCTGCAAGTGGATGGTTTGATGGAGTAGCATTTGAAGAGTGATTTTTTTCTGTAGTTTTACCTTCTTTACAAAAGAAGTCAGGTGGTAAAGTTCTTTTGGGTGATAACTCATCCTCTCATATTTCCCCAAAAGTTATTGAAGCTTGCGAAAAAAATGAAATCAAGTTTGTTTGCTTACCACCTCATAGCACCCACATAACTCAACCTCTCGATGTTGCTTTCTTTAAACCCCTTAAAACAGCTTGGCGTAAAATAATGAACGAGTACAAAAATTCTTCTGCTGGCCGTAACAAGACGTCCCTCGACAAACAACATTTTCCACAACTTTTAAAAAAGTTGGTAGCTGCTGTGGAGCCGAATCAAGCTGCCAATTTACAGTCAGTTTTCAGAAAGTGCAGCTTATCTCCAGTAGATGTCAACGAAGTCTTAGCACAATTTAGAGACAGAGAATCCTATGATACAGAGGCACTAGAAGACAGCTTCCAGATTTTCTTACAGGACAAAGTTTACAGTGTTTTGAGCTCTGAAAGCGTCAAGAAACGAAGAAAAAAGCTGACTGTTCCTGCAGGTAAAAGGTGTTAGCACTGAAGACATAGAAGACAAAAACAACAATAAAGGTTTACACGCTGCATCTGGAAGCAAAGTTAATGCTGAGCAGAATAAGAGAAAAAAGAAGAGGACACTTATCACAAAGACCAAAAAGTCAAAAGCTGAGTCTGAAGAGGATCCAGATGATTTTTCCTGCCATGATGACAGTTCCACTCTAGAAACATTCAGTGATTTGGAAAATGACTTAAGCAACCGAGAGGAAGACAGTAAGAAATCTAGCTCAAACAATTGAACACCAGTAAGAAGAGAAGAAAATGAATTCGTTGTCTTCACTTACGAAGGAGAACTTTTTCCTGGACAAATTACAAAGGTCAAGAAAAATGGCGCAATCGTAAAATCAATGGTGAAAACTGGAAAAGCATGGAAGTGGCCCGACGGATGTGAAGATATATTATACTATGAATGGAATGATATTCTGTCTCATATCAAGGAACCCAAGAAAGTTAGCAAAACTAGAAAACTGTACAGAGTGCTTGAATTGGACTTCCAATGGGGCTAATGAACTATTTTCTTATTGTTCAGAAATATCTTTTTTCCATTTTTTTATTTTAATTTTAAGTTGATTTTTAATTGTTTTTTTTACTGTGCCTCTATTACATGAACTAACATTTAGTTCATTACCTACCAACTTAAGAACTTATTTTGTGTTAAATGATATAGGTTTACCATAAGATTGCATTAAAAGTGTTAAATACGAAAAGTAGGTATGGTATATTAATGATTATCCTTTCTACTTTAATGATTCTAGGTTTAAATTAATGGTGAACCATTTACTGATAAAATAATGAGGTTACTTTGCACTGATCCAGACTAACCATAAGAATTGTATAGGTTTTTCAATACGGTGCAAAATAACCCCATGCCTGAGTATCTTTGCACAAATTTTCAAAAATCTGGAAAAATTACTTAGAAAATTTTTTAAAATATTTTTAAGATAAAAATCTGTTTCTTACATCCTTAAGCAATGATTACCATGTTTACATAAATTAAATGTTGATACAATGCTGATTTTTCACATAAGGAAAAAGGAATTAAAAAAGGTCAAAATGTTGTGCAAAGTATCCCCGGTTTACAGTAACGAAAAAAATACTACGCCACTGAGTAATATGAATATATATGCCACTGAACTTAATTGTATACCATCCACTAGTATATTTGTTAATAACAGCGTGCAACAAGGTCAAAATTTTCCAATTTGTGGACAAAAAGAAAGAAGTATAAATGAAGTTTATAAATACCCAAGAAGAATAAATTATACAAGCAATAACTCATCAGAACAAAATAATTCGAATAATCCGGCAGGCTGGCAGGAAGGAAAACCATCTGAATCTGAACATTTGTTTAATGACAACTATGTTGAACCTGCCAACAGCAACTTTTTGTCTTATGCAAACGTATTAGAACCTTCGCAAGGCGGTACATATTCAAGCTTTGTACAATCAATTGATGAAAAAAATGCAGATATAGTAAGGGCAATATATGTAGAAGATTTAACTCAAAATTGTAATACATACACGAAATTAGAAACTTATAATGTACAGCCATGTACTAATACTCATAGTAACAAAAAGAGAAAACAGGATATTAACAACGATAATTTAAATGAAGTAATTGATGCAAGAGAAGAGAGAGATAAGTCTGGTAATGACGAACCTCACAACTTACAAAATGACGATTATGTATTAGACCATCGCTCAAATATTGGAGAAGGAAATAGTGATGATGAAAACGAAAGCAAGCAATTAATAAGATATTTTACATGTAGTGATTTTTGTCATTCAAATATATTTTTATAAGTATGTTTTTGAAAAGGTTCATTATCGTCTAAAACGGAACATTATTACTGCTTCTATAGTACTTTTATTATATAATAATTTATAACAATTAGTATATTCTAATAAATATTATGGAATCAGCGTGTGAAAAATAATTCGTCGTTCGAGATCGTTTTGACGTCAATCGACAAATCATTTCTCACTGGGTTCCCAGACAGGACAATGTCCGAAACATAAGACGTCTTTAAGACGTCTTTTAGACATCTTAAAGACATCTTACGTCTAGACATCTTAAAGACGACTTAAAGACGACTGAAAGACGTCTTATCTCCCGGTTTTGGACATTAGTGCTGTCTTGGTTATACTATAGCAACAATTAGATTTATCTATTTTCAGATTGCTTATAGATAGAATGGAGAATATTCCAACAAAAGAGGAAATAAGGTATTATTTTTATTTCATATATAAAATATATATAATAGTTGCTGTTTGCCTGCGTTTGCTTTGCAACGCTCACGCGCTGTAAACGTCATCCTATTTTGTCACTCATTACACGCGAGAAAAGACAGAACGACGCTTAAAGCGCGTAAACGCCCAAAGCGAACGTAGCCTATGTGGCTGCCGAGTTAGTACCGCCAGGAAACAAATCCATGCAGGGTCCGTATTCTGTATACGCTTGTACAAGCGTGTAGATTTAGGGCAGAAAGAGCTCTAAGACGCGGCACTAATGTGAAAACCAGATTATCAGTTGTAATGCTCTTTGAGTAATAACTAATGTTTAAATTTTCAGAAATCTGTTCATATTAAAAAGTTACGGAAAACACTTGAACGTCAAAATAGACGAGATCGAATGACTCAAAAGCCAGACATATTCCCATTACAAACTATGGAAGCTATCAATAATTTTGAGAATATAAATGACATTTTGTACGATCAAATTGTAAGTAATATATAATTTAAAATGAAAAATATAAATATTTATGTTATTATAATTTGCGATGGGGGTAATAAATGAATATTTAAAATGTTACCTAAAATGTTATCTAAAATGTAGTTTGGTAATGACAAATATACCTTATACCTTATGCATTTCTGTTTAAAACAATTACATGATGGATTTATGTAGAGAGGAACTTTGCATTTATACCGTTCATAAACTAAAAAAAAAATATATATAGTATTTATTTTATATTAAATTATTAGTTATATTGAATTCTTCCTTGTCTCGACTGGAAGCCACGCAGAGACCAAATAGCAGTTGTGCCCGGTTATATTTCAAAATGCTAAGATTTTTATGTAGAGTGAAAATAGAAAATCTCATGGAATAAGCAATCGAATATGAATACACCGCGATCTCTTTATAGTAAATCTGATGTTTACATTGATTTTCATCAGTCTCATGACATGTACTATAAATGAAAATAATAAGCTAGTAAAATAAAAAATACTTTTGTGACATATACGAAAAATATTTGTTGCTATTCTTATCTTTCAACGATAAAGTATATATCTGCAATTTCTTGATTGGAAAGATGGTTATATCTAAAGTTTGATGTAAATACCTACAGGAATTAAACGCGAGTTGCATGCGCGTTCAATATCTTCTGATGGTAAAATATCTTCTGCTGTTATGTTTAATTTCAATATTCGTAAAACAAAATTTCTAAAATTTATGTAGTAAATATTCTTTGACGAACTTTTCAACATCCGTTATTTCCGTATATTCATTAATGTAGTAAGATAAAACATTTTCACTTTCAAATGGTTTACTTTTCGAATTTTCAAACTAAGTTCAAAGTGTTGATGACCCAAGATAAAAAGTGGAACACTCCTATTCACGTATGCTTGTATTAATTCTAGGTGGATTATTTCCAGCTTTTAGGTGGTACAAATCTAATAGAAGCAGTAAATTTTTGCATAAAAATCGGTCTATAACCGATAATGCATTAAAACATTATCCTGTTTGGGGAGAACAGAATAACCAAGTTTTTTATGAAAAAAAAATATGTAAAGCCATATACGGTAAATTATAAAAATATATTTTTTTTCTCGTTTTATTATATCATATCGGGTATCATACGATTCATAAAATTATATTAAAAATCCTACAGTTTAATAATAATCTTTTCCAGATGGTGTGCGTACTAACAGCAGTTTTGACCGTTCCACGGAACAACAGTTCCTCCATGCCATTGCCGAAGCAATACGCTACGCAAAACAGAGAATACGCAATAATATAAATTACCCACGACAAAATGCGCACAAAGGTCGACGTATTCGTCAAAGGCAAAATGCCACAAATATTTTCGAAGATGAAAACTTGGATAATGAAGACAATATTGATGATTATCTTGATGATAAATCCTGATACCAATGAATGAACAATGAATTTGTTAATGCGACAAATAAAAAGAAATATCCTAGACAGCATACAATATTTATAAAATGTTGTAGAAAAATATAGATATTAAATGTTTGATAAATATTGTAATGCCCGACAAAGTTTCAATGAAAAAGCTTAAAAAAAATGTGCAGAAAAATGTATAAAAAATATTTATCATACATCCTACTAAAATTATAATTCTCATAAATATTACAACATATTAATCATAACTTTTTTTATATCTGAAAACCTTGGGCATTGAAATGTATATAAAATACTTAATATCAAAATCTGGGTGTTCTTATTGTGATTTTTAAATACTAATATTTAAACTTTAAATATAATAAAGTCCTATATATGTTAAATATATATGTAAAAGTATATATTAATGTTCATAGCTTGAATATTCATATTTAAAGATCGAAATAATAAGAACGTCCAGATTTAGATATATATGCAAGTATTGATATTTAAATATTATATTGTTAATTGGTTTTTTAGATATATTTATTTATATTTCATTCTGAAAGCCTTACATTCTTACCCTTTTTCTTTTATATAGCTACAGACTATATGTCTAATGTAAATTTTTTTATTTTTATAACAAGAAAATTATAAGAGTTATTCTTACAGAAAAAAGTTTCTTTTTTAGTTTATAATAAGGTTTTTGTGTTAAATTTAACGAGCGGTATAGTATGACTATTATTTGTTAAGATATAGCGAATGCTATCATATGTAAATGAACGCATGCGTTGCATTACTATTAGTAATTATAAATGTAAAAAGTCTATATATTAATAAAAACGATAAAAACAATCAAATCTCCCACCTAAATTAATATTATATCAATGTATAAATTTTTAATTCAACAATGTAGATGTATAAGTAACGCATATCATTATATTTTTATTCTTGAGTACGAAATTATAACATTAATGTAACGTTAGTTGTAATATACTCAATATCTCCAATTTTATAAAAAAAACCCATGCTAACATTAACATTTATTTCAGAACTCAGAATTAAGTTCACAGTTTACGTGAAAATGAAGAGTTACTTCCCCCAGTGAGAAATGGCCAGTTGAATTGACGTCTATTAGACGCTACCGACGTCTGATAAACGTCGATTCGACTGCCATTTCTCACTGGGCTACTATATCCCCGCTATCACGTAATGCCCGGCAGCCAAATCAACGCACATACGACGGTCTGTCTTTGGAGCATTCCGATCACGAAATTCTTTTCAATCGGAATGCTCCAAAGACAGCGTCGCATGTGCGATCGTTGACTTGGCCGCCGGGTGTTACGCGGTATAGTGGAGATATAATAGGCGTAACTCTTCATTTTCACGTGAACTGTGCACTAAATTCCGAGCTCTGATTTAATTAAAAACGTTCTTCTTGCTGGCAAATACTTTGCAATTATTTTAACGCTCTTCATGTTTTCTTATTGCTAGCTATTTGACAACTCGCGATGATATAGCAAGACAAGTCAGCAAAAGAATAAGCATATGAGAACATTAAATTGTATATTCTTGACGCAAAAATTATGCAATTACTTGTTGCAAATTTGTCATCATACATTTGCCAGCATACTTGCTTGCAACTTATCCACATATTGAAGAATCACCTTGTTCCGTTTTTTACTCAATTAAATTGACTGATTTGTTTTTAAATGTAAGGTTACTTTTTATTTTTGGATTGTAACATTGATTTTATATTAATTCCATTCCTATATTATTATTTTAGTGATATTTTATTATAAAATTATGTTTCAGCTTCTTTGTCATCATTAAAGAAAAATATCGATATGCTATCAGGTAAATTGTGTTGCTTCTCATATATTTTTCTTATCTTTATGAAATATATTGTATTTTCCTTTATTGACTATATCGACGAATAATGTAATATGTACAAAAGTATTTTACTGAATCTCCTTTTCTGTTTTCCTGATTTTTATATGATTTTAATGTTATGTTGTAACTTATTTTTAGATCCTCATATTGCTGCTGTTTTTAAAACTTTACTCGACAGGCAAGAAGAATTAAATGGTAAAGTCGATCATATTATTTTGATGCTTTATAATCTATCGCAAGTTAGCTCCTGAAGAAGAAAAAACTATTAAACCGAGGAATTTCCCTGCACTTCCTTTAAACATTAAAGATTCTTTTCTAGAATTTGAAGCATATCTTAAATCTGATGATAATTTTTATCCTACAGTAAGTACTTGTACCACAAATTACAGATTATATCATAAATTGTTCTATGCATAACATTATTTCAAGTTCTTTACATTTGTTTGAATGTAAGGAAGAGATATGTTATCAGAAAAATATAATCAGATATATATGCAATTAGTATTATATATATAAATTTAAATTTTCTTTTTACTTTTAGGTAAATTATTTTGTTAAACTAATGAAAATAGATGAACAAACTGATGAGAAAACAGCTGTTGGCCGTTTGTTACCCAAAATTACGTCTAATTCGTTAGCACGCATGATGAATTATACAGGATCAAGTGTTAAGCTTAAATTGGAAAATACAAAAATTTATGAGGCAATCAACTGTAAGTTTAACCTCGGTTTGGTCTATTTAGTTACAAATTATATTTTTTGTATTTTGGGCAAATATAGAACTGTTCAGAATGAATTCCGATCAGAATCATTTAGTCATTTTCTATATTTTTTCTTATATTTTTGTAAGGAACCATTAAATGATTTTGATCATAATTCATCCCAAACAATTGCATAATTACCCACATAAGCAACGTATGAACTTTTTTTTATAGGTGCTGTTTTGAATACATTCCCAGAAAGCAACTTAACTAAAACAGAAAAAAAAATATCACGCTAGTTGTACACTAGCAATCAGCGGAAACTTTAATATAAAAGTTAATATTTAGTTTTGTTCTCTATAAAATATAGTTTTTATAGTAGTTTTGTTTTCTATGTATTCTTTTCTTTTGTTTTCTACATGTTCAAAGTTTATATTTATATTTTGAAAAAGAAAGAATTTTGAAAAAGAATTGTTCTTAAAAAGTAAAGTTCCTTTTAATTTTAACAATAATTATATAACATGCAACTTTTGTGATATACAATAACATTGTCTGTAAATATAAATAATTTTATTTTATGTCACAGCAATTTTATTTGTGATAAAAATTAAATTAATAACATTCAATTTTGTCTTTTTAATGTTTTGTTATACGTTTTACCATATATACATATATATGTATGCATATTTATAACCCATAAATAACCGAAAGATATTATAGAGATATCCAATGAATATTATCACAATATCTGTAAAATATTTTTTAGATATTTATGGATATAAACTGCATAAATATCTATTTTAAACAGATTATAATAAATTTAAAATGAGTAAATATACCCAGGCAGAAATGAAAGTCACGATAGTGTCAAAATGACGTCAAAGTGACGAAAAAATGACTAAAATTTTTGGTCAAAATGACGTCAGATTGACATTATTTTGACTATCTGTTCTACTTGGGTATATATAGTAGGGATTATAAAAACTCATTTTTTATTCAGTTACATTATTTTGACGTTATTTTAATATTACCGTGATTTTCTGCTTTTTAATGCATGGGTTAAAAGTCATTATAAAGTCATTGCAGTATCAAAAAATCATCACAAAACTATCACAAAAAGTATATTAAATGACATCATGATGAGGTTTCTTGAAATGACTTCTATATGATGTCATATTGATATTTTTATGATTTCATGTTCTACCTGGGTATATCCCCGCTATCGCGTAATGCCCGGCGGCCAAGTCAACGATCGCATATGCGATGGTCTGTCTTTGGAGCATTCCGATCACGAAATTCTTTTCAATCGTCCCAGGCCACCCAGGCCGGGTGTTACGCGGTATAGTGGAGATACAATAGGCGTAACTCTTCATTTTCACGTGAACTGTGCACTAAATTCCGAGCTCTGATTTAATTAAAGACGTTCTTCTTTCTGGCAAATACTTTGCAATTATTTTAACGCTCTTCATGTTCTCTTATTGTTAGCTATTTGACAACTCGCGATGATATAGCAAGACAAGTCAGCAAAAGAATAAGCATATGAGAATATTAAATTGTATATTGACGCAAAAATTACGCAATTATTTGTTGCAAATTTGTCATCATACATTTGCCAGCATATTTGCTCGCAACTTGTCCACGTATTGAGGAATCACCTTGTTTCGTTTTTTACTCAATTAAATTGATTGATTTGACAGCAAGTTGCCAGCAAGCTTACAGACATTTTGTTATCTGGGTCAATGGGAAAAAGCATTACAGAACGATTTTTTATTTGTCTTTAAGTAACTTCCCAGTAAGCAAAATGCTAGCAGAATGCGCGCATATTGACGTCAATTTCGATCAGATCCCCACATCAAAACCATAGCCATCTGTGTCCTCATTAGTCTCGTGTTTTGTCGACAAGACCTGCGTAACAAGCCGTGCGAGCAGATTGTCGGCAGAAACGGCGCAGGTCCTGTTGCCAAACTACGCGCAGAGTTTGCGCGCAGAGTTTGCTCGGTTTCTGCCGTCAATCTGCCGTCAAATTACTGCAAGTCTTGCGCGGTTTTTGCTACAAATCTGCCATCAAATATCCGACAGCAGGATTTGGTGCATATTTGACCGCAGATTAGTGGCATAATTTAATATAATAGATTCTGCGTTAAATTTGTTGCCTATTTGCCATCAAACTATGATAGCAGGCTTTGCTCGAAATCTGCTCGCACAAGTTTGAACCTATCTAGGTTCTTTATAAGAATTATATGTCTTGTGTATATAATAATATAAAAATTTATTTGTTGAGCCTTAAGGCTCGAATTTGATTTGTTGAGCTTCCTTTCTGAAATATCATTGATTTTCAACATGAGATAAATTTCATAAAATTTCTAGTAAACTGAATATTAATATTGGACATACTTGTACTGCGTCACTTTCTGTAGAACATGTTAGAAGTGATGAGTTTGATACATAGCTGCATGTTGATTGAGGTACTAACATTGGAGACTCATTGTCTTCAACTGTAATATTTTCACCTTGCATCTGTCTACCCTCTTCATTCTGTGCATCTGATGGCAGACTACTATATGTCCTATAAAAAAAACAGAATTTAATATCAAGTCAGATATTAACAAAGAATAATCAAGAACTTCAAAGGATTCCTTCTGTGTGAATAATAATTTCAATTCTTCTTTGTTGTTATTTGTTATTTACTTATTGTTCGTTATCAACTTTGTTATCTAGACCTCTTTGACGTGTGAAATTCTTTATATTAATATCCACGTAATAGGAATTCTTCACTAAGATACAATTGGCTATGAGCAGTTTGTAGAATATAAAATTCTTACAACTCTAACTTCAAATGACAAATGATTTAAAGTTTTCTCTGCAATACGATATAAAAGAATCATGAACTTTGTCACATACAAATTTTTAATAGTCGACTGCAGATAAGGAAAGAAATCTTAGACAAGGTAACATCCAGAGATGTTATTAATACATTATTTGACGTAATCCTGCTACCTAAGTTCTCACTGTATACATATTAATTTTAACAATTTAAAGTGAAAGAGAACTAAATAACAAAATCAAGTTTAAAGTGTTTCTCTAAATACAATGACTTTTTTAATATTACATATTATTAAACTTACGGAGATTTTTTTAAAACATCATCCAAAAACTTCATTTGTTCGTAGAATCTGAAGGAACTTTTTTTCGTACTTAATGCTTCAGCAGCAGACCCACTTGGAATATAAGTACGTTTTTTTCTTTTTTGTCTTTATGAAGCAATCACGAAGATATCGCCATCTTTTCTTAATTTCGACTACGCTCAATGTCCCTGTAAACACACATCATAACCTAAAAGATTTCATGGAACTTGTATAATCATCACGCATGCCAAAAAAGAAATAAACATACTAACCTCCTAGTGAATTGCATATTTCTTGCAACAGTGCATTTTTTTTTTAATGCTTCCTTCACTTGCTGGTATCCGATGGTCGAATAATGCTTGCTTCTGGGATACAAGATTTATTATCTGTTCATCGATGTCAACTGCTTCAAGAATGTCATTATTTTCTGCATTATTCAATTCATCAAACTGTTCTGGGCGAGACACTATAACATAAGAAAAACAATAATAACATTGGTAAACAAAACTCAGTCCACTAAGTACTATTAACAGACAATATAATTTATCAGTGAATAATCAATGACATGTTTTTCTTGCCAAAGAACATACTTCAATTACTAAAATTTTACTTACCGTAACAATAACTACTAAATTTTGATCTATTTTTAACTGATGAATGCCCTCACAAAATGAATGGAAACAAGAATGATTTAGTAATTCAAAGTTTTTTGGAAGGATATACCCGCAATATCCACATTTTTTGTCCTGCAACAACAATAATAAACAATCATAACATCAAATTCCTAATAGAAACTCATATTTTATAAAGTTGTTCGATAAAATATAGTATTAATATAAAATTCTTAATATAAAATTATATTTATTTAAAATTCAAATAGTTTTTAATAATATTCTTACGGATCTCTGCTGCATATTCGGCATTTTTCTTCCTTCTTTGTAACCACATATTCACTTCTTCTCCTTCTTTTGAATGACGGACCACACACAATGGCTCTGGCGAGAATTTTCTTGCGCATGCGTACTGGGCAACGCTTAGAATCGTCACAGACGTAAAAATATTAGGTATCGCTAGGGACCTGCTATATTATGTATTGTAATAGATATTGACAAAATATTATTATATTTTCGTTTCTTCTTTTCCTTGATGTTAGTTGATGTCGACGGCTGTGGATCATCCATCTCCATTGCTTTCACTGAATTCACTTTGAACACCGGTAAAAGTACAAGAAAAGGCCCCTTTAGCGGCTTTAGCTCCTACTGTTATACCCAACATACGACTGTGAACGCAGCTGATTTCTACCTCTGTCACGTTACGCATGCGCACGGAGGCTCCGCTGCGCGAAAAATCGTGCCAGAGCCCAACACTGACCATACATTCATGAATCTCCGTAATCCGCAGAGTTGTTGCGGATAAAATAAAAACTTGCGGAAAGAAATCGGCGGAACGTACGTAAAATAAATTCAACCAATCACGAGCGTTCCACCAATTCCGCAATCCGCATGTTCCGCCCCCATGGGACTGCACCATTAAGGCTCGTCTACATTAGCTGTAAGAATAAAGGCTCGTCTACAATAGTTGTAAGAGTGAGGCCAGTACCGCGATTCTGTAACTCGTTATTGGAGTTAACGACACTTTCGTTATCGTTGCGCAGCTTTTGTATACCGTAGAAAAGCTGCGCAACGATAACGAAAGTGTCGTTAACTCCAATAACGAGTTACAGAATCGCGGTACTGATCTACAATACGTGTCGTAAGTTATAAGCCGTAAAGGTCATTCTACAATGAGGTTGTAGTATTATGCAGTAGGCAAATTGACCAATCACGATCGATTGTTCTCTTTACGGTCGAAGAAAAATCGACTGTGATTGGTCAATTTGCCTACTGCATACTACTATAACCTTATTATAGAATGACCTTAAAGGTCATTCTATAATACATGTCGTAAGTTGTAAGTCGTAAGAATTGGCGAATCACAGTCGATTATTAGAAAAATAATCGGCTATAATTGGTCAGTTCTTACGACTTACGACATGTATTGTAGAATGACCTTAATACCTCGTCTACAATAGAAGTCGTAGAGTTGTAAGTCGTAGAAATTGACCAATCATAATCCGGTAAGAGAAAAATAATCGACCGCGATTGGTCAATTTGTACGACTTACGGCTCTTAAGGCTCGTCTACAATAGCTGTAAGAGTAAGGCTGTAAGGCTGTAACGTAAGCTGTCAGCGAATGAAAATATTTCATTTCGTGCCTTGCAACCTTACAGCCTTACTCTTACAGCTAATGTAGACGAGCCTTATGACTTCTATTGTACACGAGATATAAGAATTGGCGAATCACAGTCAATTATTATAAAAATAATCGGCTATAATTAGCCACTTCTTACGGCTTACAGCTTACAACACCTATTATAGACCAGGCCTAAGGCTGTTAGGCTAACATTACATTTGTCGTACGAAAATCTTTTCGAATAGGTTGATTGGTTAATAGAATATTTCTAGGATTGCTTCGCGTATGTATGCCAATCAATGGCTGCGTTCAGAAAACACAACGGTTACCACAGATGTCTATACTATACTAGATTGCTAACTTCGATCTTTGACCTATACAAGAGCTGTGTCCCGCCTATTTTCCGGTTCGGCCATGAAGACCGCCAAAACATGGCGGCGGTGTGTGTTTGTAGTGCGTACGTGAGTATCCGATGCGTGTGTAGTAGTGCTGTACTGTAAGTATGTGATACCTGATGTGTCTACACTGATGTGTCGTATCTACTGCTATTTATATTAGTAAAACTGCAAATATATAAACGAGATAATGCCAAGTACATGTTGCATTGTTAATTGCAATAATACGAATAAAAAAAGATATCACTTATTTAAGTAAGTAGAATACATTTATATATAATAAATGTTCGAGGTTTGTAATATGTGAGGGTTATCTTGCAATTAAACATTGTTAATATTTCAGATTTCCGATAAAACGTCCAGAGATTTAAAAAAAATAGATTTGTGCAATCGGAGGAAATTTTACACCAAAAAAACACCATGTAATCTGTAGTGCTCACTTTTTACCTATAGATATCATGGAAAAAGCAAATATAAGTAGTGTTCTATTAAAAAATTTGGCTGTGCCATCAATAGCTCTGAGAGCTCCTGCTTGTGACACTGTTCCTGCATTTTATTCTTTATATGTATGTAAAAAATATTAATACAAATACTTTGACATATTTTGAACTGTATATATTCAATTTAATTTTAACCTTTACCAAACACTTAGATTAGCAACACCTTATTAATACACACATCTTTAAATGATGATATTCTTTCTTGTTCGTATTTTTGAAATTTACAATACTTATTCGGCATTATCTCGTTTGTAGATTTGCAGTTTTACTAACATAAATAGTAGTAGACACATCAGGTGTCACATACGCACTACCACGCACTACTACATACGCATCGGGTATTCACATACACACTACAAACACACACCGCCGCCATGCTTGGCGGTCTTCATGGCCGAACCGGAAAATGGGCGGGGCACAGCTCTTTTGAGAAGTTAGCAATCTAATATAGTATAGACATCTGTGCCTTGGTCATCGAAATGTAATATGGTATAAATATTCGTGTTATCTTCAGCATAGCTACTCATATAGCACGTAATATTTCTATATTACATAATATTATGTGCTACGTGGGTAAAATAGTAAGTATTATCTTCAACTATCTCCGGGCCCCTCGGAGCTCCCTTGCCATTACGAAAATTTATCCAGGGCTGACAGTCTTCAGTATCACTTCGTCGGTGGCGCGCGACTCAGAAAACATATTTTTGAATAATACGATTCAATAACGGATCAGTGGTGCGATTCTTTAACTTGTTATTGGAGTTAACGACACTTTCGTTATCGTTGCGCAGCTTTTCTACGATACACAAAAGCTGCGCAACGATAACGAAAGTGTCGTTAACTCCAATAACGAGTTAAAGAATTATGCCGCAGGTGGATTTCTTCATCGTTAGATAAACGTCGTTTCATAATTTTTAACTGTACTTCATCGTTAGATGAACATCGTTTCATAATTTTTAACTGCACTTTCTGCACGCATCTTTACAATTTTTCCTCTTTTCTCCGCCCCGTCAAGTGACAAATACATAAAGCCAACGGCACACGGTGCTTGTTTTTGTGCCGGATTGCTTGCTGGATGAAAATACTGCGTTTTGATTGGTGCATTTCCATCCATCTTCGGAAATGCACCAATTAGAACGCAATATTTTCATCCAGCAAGCAATCCAGCACGAAAACAAGCACCGTGTGCCGTTGGCTTTAGGCCTGTTCGTTTTGTCTGCACTGCTGAACTAGTGCATTAAGTTAAAATGAGACAAACATAGGTTTTCTCACTTCAACCTGTTGCACCAGTTCAGCAGTGCAGACAAAACGAACAGGCCTATATTTATCTGCTCCAAAATGCAGAAAGTATATAATGTGCTGAAGTTATGAGAAACGAGTCTCAAATGCTACGGTGCATTCATGCTGACTCAACGGTTGCGTGTTTACGCGGGAGCATCTCGGACGAACTAACCTCAAATGTGCACGCCGTCTGCGTTAAATATCCCGCTTGGTCATTAAAGATTCATCTCTCACGACGAACATGGAGTTTCTCGAGAATCCCGTTTTCAAGACCAAGTACTTGAAGAACAAGCTTCGTGTTAAATTATGGGAGAGCGATTTTATGGAAAAGTACGGACGCAAGCCTAACAAGGTGAGTCGCCTCGCGTTCTCACGTTCATCGACTAACTTCGCGTTGACTGAAGTTATTTGCCTTGCCTTTTATATTTGCTGCAATATGGCCCGCTTGTTGGATAAATCATACACTTGATCATATATTTGATCTTAACTTTATGCAATAAAGATATGGCTCTGTCATTCGTGCGTCGTGAAGAACTTTGTACATATGGCTGTCATGATAGCAAAAGCTAACAGAAACAGGGTCAGAGAAGTTACTTTTGGGTAACAATTGAATAGTAATACAGCAAAGATAAGGAGTTAATTCTTTCAATGTTTAATGAGTAATGGTAGAGTCACTCATTACCCATTGAAGAAATTGATCCAATATCTTTACTTTTTTATGCATTCTGAAAAATAATTCATTGCTGTTATCATTATTCAAGAAGTAACAAGTTGTTACAATGTGTTATTTCTTTTGCCAAGTTCTGAAGATTCTTTTATGATGCTCTGCTGTCCACTTTATGTATTTTATACTGCTCAAAGTAACAATTATTGTAAGTAACAATAATATATTCATTACCCAAAGATATAATTACAATATTATTACAATTACTAATGGTAAAAAGGCATCATTATTACCAAATTATTACTGAAAAAAATAAAGATTTTACAAGTAATGTGTTACCATCCATATCTGTAAAAACGATCATATTATCAATACAATATATAGGTTGTCCCATTTTAAATGAGCTAGGCAGAAATTTCAAAAAATATGAAAGAAACGTTTCAGACAAAAGTATGATTTCAAAGGGGACATGAAACAACTATGTCATTTTGTTTACAGATGGCGCCACTTTCAAGATATTCACTGATCATTACTTTTCTTGAATGAAAATCCCTATCTTTTATTATATTATTCTTTTCTGCCAATTAATTTGAACAACAGCCTGAAACATTTTTTTTAGTTGCCTAATATTTAAGAAAAACTTGATAAATTTTTCGATATTTAACTTACAATATCTCGCTAATTATTTGTCAGAAGAAAAAGTGGTATTAGACCTTTTTACTCTATTTAGTCTCAAGAATATATAATTACAATAGTGCTCTAATTTTTGTTAACATATCGATTTTTGGAAATTTCAAAATCATCAAATTAACAAAAGTCGGAGCGCTATTGTAACAATATAGTAATACGACGTATTGACAGCATATTCTTGAGGCCAAATAGAGTAAAAAAGTCTAATATTATTTTTCTTTCAGACAAATAGTTACAGAGATAAGCTAAATATTGAAAAAGTTACCAAATTTTCTTTAAATATCTCAAAAAACATTAGACAAATAAAAAAACGTCCCAGACAAAAGTTGTTCAAAATAATTGGTAGAAAAGGATGATATAATAAAAAATTGGAGTTTTCATTTAAGAAAAGTAATGATCGGTGAATATCTCGAAAGTGGCCCCATCTGTAAACAAAATGATATAGTTGTCTTATGTCCCCTTTGAAGCCATCCAACTTTTGTCTGAAACGTTTCTTAGTATCTTTCATATTTTTCGAGATTTTTGCCTAGCTCATTTAAAATGGGACACACTATATAATTAATGTAGTGCTGTGCTCTTACCTTATCTCATATTCCTCTTTCATTCCAGAATGACATAAAAGAGGCTGACGCAATTATTAAAGAATCTTACAAAATGTACTGGAAGTTGAAAACGCGCGCACTCGAAGAAACTTTGACAGACATAACTTTCTGCGATGATGTGCGAGACAACGTTTCAAACGCGTCCCCGCAGAAACCGACGGGTGACGAGAAACACGATAAGAAGCCGAGCCCGGAGAAGATCACGAAAGACGCGGAGAACATACATCCGCACAACAAATTGCCCGCGGCTGCCGAGAACTTGGTGGAAAAGTCCGACTCGGCGAACGTCAAGGGAGTCTGGGGCGATCACCTGAACAAGAGCAAGGAACAAGCGCCGAAGAAGAAGCAGTCTCTGCTGATCGGTAGATCGTCCTCCTTTCAGCTCTCCAGGAACAAGTTCGAGAGCTCCTCCTTCACCAAGCGAAATCCGCGGAAATTGTTGTCATCAACTAAAATAAGAACCAAGCCCGAGAAGACGAGCTCCAGCCAGTCGAGCGTCGATCGCGTAGAGGCTCCAGATGTTAGGAATGACCTCCGCGTGGCTGCAGAGACAAAGCTCATATTCGGCGACCCAGTGAAGGTGACGTTTGAGGGGAGCAAACCTATGCTGCACTCCATCAACGCGGTTCAGCAACTGGTCGACGGCCACGTGGCCGGTGTGACCCGTAACCTGGACCAAGGTTGGCTGGACCGCTGCGCGAGGGACAGTAACCGGGAGATATCGGCGTTCGTCTCTCAGAGGCTCTCGAACAATAGCGACTCCGGCGTGGAGTCGATGGAATCTAGCATACACTCCCCGAAGGACATACCGTCCACCGTGATGAATCCCGCAGCGTCGCCGATGCAGTTCTCCGACGAGGAGGACTTCATATGCAACAGTGATTCCGAGGAAGAGCGCAGGAACAAACGTGTCGGGAACCTGAAGAAGCGCCTGAGCGATCAAGAAGGCCGCCCCGCGAAACGACTGTGCGTTGAAATCGGCCGCAGCGAAGCAACCGACGCCAATACGTTCGAGTCGACTCTTAACATTCACGCGAGTGTCAATCCGGTGCATAGTGAGTCAAAAACTGACGATATTCACGGGCTGAAGTTGACTCCTGATGTTGATGCTAGCTTTGAACCGTCGAATGAATCTGCTAGGACTTTGAACGTTTGCAGAGAGTCTGCATGCGTCGGGTCGGATGTTGTTCTGAGAGACAAAGTGACGACCGAGAGTACTTCTTGGGTCAAAACCGACCGGACCAAGTGCACTTCAAAGACGGTGAATACTGCTGCCGAGTTGGCCGGCTCTGCGAGCCGAGAGGATTCTTCTTTTTTTGTAGACGAACCGGCGAAGCAACTAACGTCGCATCGAAGAGCGAAGCAAGTTCCAGTCAACGACGATTCCGATCCTGATTACGTGGAGCAGAGTAAGAAAAGTAGAAAGGCGAAGACGAAGACGAAAAAGAGCGCCACGGGGACACGTTCGGTAAAGAAACCTGCAGGCCAACGGAGCAAGAAGAAAGCAACGAGCAACGCAGAGACAGCCAACATGAGGAGGTCTGCCAAGACGCGAGCGAACTTGCAGGAAGATGACGAAGAACGGAATTCGGGTTCGAAGGCCGGGACGGTCCCTATTTACGGCGTGGAAACGATCGAGGCGGTGCCGCGCTTCGCGATGAACCCAACGACGAGTGGAGATCTGATCGCGCAATGTTCCGAGTCCGTTTCCGCCGCCGAGTCCGAGAAGGACGTACCCGTACTTGCGAGAACGAAGACGAAGCTGACTGACAAAGAGAAGCTGGAGAAGAAAATGGCCACTGGCACGATGAATGATAACTTCGTTAGGATCAACCTGAAGAAGAAAGTGTTCGTCAGGGGCAAGAAGAACTTCAATTTCTCCAAGTACAAGAAGAATCAGTGGAAACAGAGGAAGAAGGACCTGGCGTCCAGCGAGAGTAACCTGGATGCGGCTGACCTGATGGACAAGAACGGTATGACGTGTTTCAAGTGCGGAGAGTCGGGCCACTTCGCTAGGAACTGCACGGTCTCCAAGGGCGAAGCTCTGCTGCCTTTGGAGGAGATCGACGAGTCGTCGAACTTCCCGACTCTTCAGGAGGCCGAGAAGATGGCGAGCCAAGGCGCCATCGTCGCTCACAGTCACAGGATCGATCGGCTGCCCCAGAGACCGTCGTTTTCCACTGAGAAGGCCTCAGATCCTCAACATAAAGAAGAAGAAAAGGGGAAAAGAGAGGAAGAAACGGTGGAAGAGGTCATGGCGAAACTATTCAGTGATGACTTCGCGGACCCGGTTGAGGAGAAGGCTACGCCCATACTCGGGCACAAAATACCAAAGGAACTGTTGTCGCGACTATTACCACCTCTGATGGAAGTGGTGAACCCGTTGTATCCCACGAACCAAGACGGTGGCCTCGTCGAGACCCCAACGGAAGTTTTCGAGGCGCTACGCTTGTTCGGCCATGAGAGCTTCAGAGCCGGCCAAGAGAAGGCGGTGATGAGAGTGCTGTCTGGCCGGTCCACCCTGGTGACGCTGTCGACGGGCTCCGGGAAGTCCCTGTGCTACCAATTGCCGGCCTATTTGTATTCTCAACATTCGCGCTGCATCACTCTCGTGATCTCGCCGTTGGTCTCCCTGATGGACGACCAAGTAACAGGCGTGCCTCTCTTTCTGTCGGCCGCGTGCTTGCACACCGGCCAAAGTCCGAAAGTGAGGGAGCAAGTGATGCAGGCGGTGAAGGACGGCAAGGTAAACATCCTGCTGGTGTCGCCGGAAGCGGTGGTAGCCGGCGAGAAGTCCACTGGCTTCGGTGCGCTGCTCAGGCAACTGCCGCCAATCGCGTTTGCCTGCATCGACGAGGCCCACTGCATCTCCCAGTGGTCGCATAATTTTCGGCCGTCCTACCTGATGCTCTGCCGAGTGCTGAAGGAGAAGCTGGGCGTGAAGACAGTGCTGGGGCTCACGGCGACCGCCACGCGAGCGACGGCCGAGAGTATAGTGAATCACTTGGACCTGCCTGACGGTATGGCCGGTGTTATATCGGACGTGCCGATGCCCAGGAATCTCGTCCTAACAGTCTCAAAGGATGGGAACAAGGACCATGGCCTGATAGCATTGCTGAGGAGCGAGAGGTTCCAGGAGTGCGATTCTGTGATAGTCTACTGCACCCGCAGGGAAGAGTGTGCGAGAATCGCAGGCTTGTTAAGAGTGTCCCTACAGGTAAATATTACAGGAATTACAGGTAAATATTATATAATATAATACAGGTGAGAAATACAATATGCAGAATATCACTGTTGGACTGTTGGATACACCGAGAACCGCTGTTTTTAGGTGACGAAGAAATTAGTTGAAAATGTAGAATAATATTTTGTAATTGAGACATCCACAGCAAGATTCGTTAAGTCAAAATATCCATTAAGTCAAGCGCACACTTATCCGATGAATTTTCAATACCGGTTTACTGAAGAACCAAGAGAGAATTGCATAAGAAAATATTATTTTACATTTTCGTCATATTATTTCCACGTAGAACCTTTCATCAACACAGTGACACCTTACATAACAATGATTTAAAAGATTTTATGATATTAAAACTGTTCACACGTACCGTTGTAGGATTCGCGGAATTCTGAGAAACCAAATGCAAAGATGTCCACGATAGCCGAAGCCTACCACGCCGGTATGACGGCGCTCCGACGCAAGGTCGTGCAAAAGGAGTTCATGAGTGGGAAGATCAAGATCGTGGTCGCCACCGTGGCGTTCGGGATGGGCATCAATAAAGCGAACATTCGTGCCGTCATTCATTACAATATGCCGAGCACCTTCGAGAGCTACGTGCAGGAAGTTGGTCGTGCCGGGAGAGACGGTCTCCCGGCGCACTGTCACCTGTTTTTAAACCCGATGGTACCGTATCATATCCGACTTCAATCGCTGAAGTCCTCCTCGAGACCTGCGACTAACTCGATCGACACTTCGCCTAACTTGACCCGTTCTTTTTAAACAGGAGGACAGTGACAAGTGGGAATTACGCAGACACATACATGCAAACGGCATCGACAGGCATACGATCAGACATCTGCTGCAGAGAATTTTCATTCCCTGCTCCTGCGCGAAAATAAACGCAAAGGACTCGGGCCGAAGATGCCCCGGTCACGAGGTCGCCCTCTCGATCGACGAGACCGTTCAAGCCCTCGACATCACGGAAGAGATAATCTCAACGTTGCTGTGCTATCTGGAGCTGCATCCGAGGAAATTTATTACTGTACTCTCATCCGTGTACGTACGGGCCCGCATCTCGAGCTACAACGGGCCGCAAGCTCTGAAACAAGCGGCGCAATCTGTAAGATTTCGTTCGAGATGACCGCCAGATACTGTAGTAGATACATTGACTGCGTTCAGAAGACAAAGCTTTCAGTGAGCAATTAGTGACCGTTGGTCATCTTTACTGTTACATCCTTATGTTTAGACTGATAACGTTGACGGATTATTCAGCCGTTGTGTTTTCTGAACGCAGCCATTCGTTGACACGTTTACTGTCATGGCCATCAGTGTGATGAACATAATCGTGTATATTGCTTCTTACTGACTTATATATAAAACATGGTTGAGTGCACACGACAAATTAAATATGCAGTCGATGAAGAAACAATGGAACGAACCAACAAACATACAGGATGAAATACCTAAAACAAGCCACCTAAATAACTTTGAAAATATGCAAGATAGAAAAAAATGTTAAATGCAGAAGTTGTAGGATTTTAAGTAACATCATGTAGCAATATTAGTATGACCTTGAACAGCGTCATTAGGGTTACAGAAAGGTCACTTTGAATTGTTTTAATGGAAACTTCCATTTTTCATTATCTTTTTCTACCAATTAATTTAGACAACTTTTGTCAAATATTTTTTTATTTGGCTAATATTTATTTAGCTATTTAAGAAAAACTTGGAGGTCGCCTTGAATTTTTTAAATAGGAACTCATTTTTATTATATAATCTTTTTCCGGCAATTAATTTAGATAACTTTTGTCTGAAATATTTTTTATTTGCCTAATATTTTTTGGAATATTTAAGGAAAACTTTGAAGACTAATTTTTTCAACATTTGGCTTACGATATCTCGGAATACTATAACTATTTATCGGAAGAAAAAGTGGTACTAGACTTTTTTACTCTATTTGGTCTCAAGAATATGCTGTTGCCCTAACTTTTGTTAATTTGATTTTGAAATTCCCAAAGGTTATCTAACAAAAATTAGGATATTATTGTAACAACATATTCTTGAGATCAAGTGGAGTAAAAAGATCTAGTACTCCCCTTCCCCCTCATTGTTTCTTCCGACAAATAGTTACCAAGATTTCGTAAGCTAAATCTTGGAAAAATTGCCAAATTTTCTTTGAATATTTCGAAAAATATTAGACAAGTGAAAAAATGTTTCAAACAAAACTTCAAATTAATTGGTAGAAAAGGATAATATAAAAAAAAATAAGAGTTTCCATTAAAAAATTCAAAGTGACCTTTCCGTAACCTTGATGACGCTGTTCAAGGTCTACACTAATATTACTATGTGATGCGACACTTAAAATCCTATAACTTCTGTCTTTAACATTTTTTCTTTCTTGCATATTTTCAAACTTATTCAGGTGGCCTAAGTTAGATTCCTCATCCTATATACGTTGCGAATTCTATATCCATTCGTCGCATATTTGGTGAGTCAGACTCGAGTTGAACATTGGAATAATCAGTAGAAGTCAGCGTGGTGGTCAGCGTGCTAAAACAGAGGAACGCTGCTACTCAATTTAGTCAGTTATCACAAAACCCGTTAATCGTTATGAAATTGCCATGACTGATCGAACGATCGTCGTGCTTAGATAAGACACATTCCGCAAAGAATTTCGCCTGACAAAACGGATTTTGTTTTAGTCTCCGCCGCTCGCGATGGCGATAGCGCTGGATATGCAGAAGAGGATCACACACGAGGACAGTAACGTCATAGAGTTCCCAGTGATCGACGTTGCATCGGCCATCGGCTGGGACAGCGGTGTCGTGAAGAGCCACCTTAAGGATCTGGAATGGGCGGCAGGAGGTGAGAAGAGTGTCCGTGAAATCTCGCTTCTACGGGTCTTCTTGCTTTCTTGATGAAAGAATGTCATAAGCGAAGAAATACAGTCTAAAAATTCTTGCAAGATACTTTGAATTAAAAAGATAAGTTCAGAAAATGATACGAACGAGCCTAAGATTTACGTGACAGGATCATGCAAAAAGGTAGATTAAAAAAATAGGTTTCACGTCATGTTAACTTCATAATTGGTCTTTGTTGGTCAGAGCAAAAGGAAAGTGTTCAGGCTATTTTGCAAATCGTTTGTAAATCATTTTATAGATATACCTTTTTACGTCAACGTATTTTGAGAATTTTTTAAGGATGACCGTGGCGAAACATCAGGAGTTTCAACAGTCAACCACAAAATAATGGGTTTTGCAGTGCAATGATAAAACGAAGCAAAATCTCAATTTCTGCGCTCGAGCAATATAATCGAGATAAATTGCAAAAACGTAAACGCAACATTTGTCTTATCACTGATAAGAGTTCAGAGAAGAGCTCGAAAGTCTGGACTTTTATCGTTCGCCTGGACTAATTCGACTAAAAACGATGCTTTTGGCTTGTTTTATCATCACAGCGCAAGACCCGCGCACAGTGTCTGCGATTTGTTATGATTTTTATATGTGAACTTGCTCTCTTGGGAATTTGTTTCATTCACATGACTGGATATGCCTTGTAGCTGACGGAAAGATGAAGCGCTCGGCTATATCAGTACATTATGACAAACTCGGCCTACGAGTGAAAGCGCCGGGCGATCTCTCCGACGTCGAACTGGACGAGGCGCTGGACGCGCTGATCGCGCGCACTCGGTCTCAGGAATCCTCGTGCCTGCGCCAGCTCGAGATCATATCCAGCGCGCTCAGTAGAATCAGCGTGTCATCGATCAAGTACTGTTTGGTCTTGGATGAGGACGTAGCGAAGAAGTCAGAAGAGCTCAAAGACACTATCCGAAAGTATTTTCAATCGGACTCTCCTCTGGATAACGTCGATATCAGTTTTCAGGTGCAGTTCTTGATAGGAAGATACTCAATGGCGAGTTCGACTGGGCTGGTACATCAATGCACAACAAGACCGGTGTCATAGTCCATTCTTTTATCTATTCTTTATCAAAAAAAAGTTATGAATTTTTATTTAAAGACTTACAAGAGCTGAACGTCAAGTGAAGATACAATAAAACAAGTGATAAAAGTTCGTATCGGCAAAACAAGAAATCAGGCATAGTAAATTGTTTGCGAAGTATTTGACGAAACGTTTCGACCGCGACTTTGAATTCTTCTCGATGTTGAAAAACCAATGTTGACTCGATGCGATGCAATAATCCATGATACAATAGTCGGTAAAAAGTTAACGGCCAGAGATTGATGTCAAGCATAACTTAAGTTTGATGCAAATCTCTCGCATTTAATTTCTTTATTTAAACACGTTTATAGCATGGATTATCGAATTAATATTGCGTTTCTTAACATCGAGAAAGATCGAAAGCTATGATCGGTTGTTTGTAACAATACATTTCTCTAATTTATTTCTCTTTTGTTTTACTATATAGAGTGTATAAAAAGTACCGGGATGGCTAAATATCTCAAAAACAAAATATTTTAGAAAAAAATATTTCAGACAAAAGTTGTGACTTCAAGAGGAACATAAAACAACTATATCATTTTATTTACAGATGCCGCCACTTTCAAGATATTCACTGATCATTACTTTTCTTAAATGGAATTTTTTTATATCATCTTTTTCTAATAATTATTTTAAACAATTGTTTTGGACTTTTTCTTATTTGCTTAATATTTTTTTTTAGATATTTAGATAAAATTTAGCAACTTTTTTAATATCTGTAACTATTTGTCGGAAGAAATGTGATACGAAACTTTTTTATTTTACTTTGGTTTCAAGAATATGCCGTTAAAATAGTGTCCTAACTTTTATTAACTTGTTGACTTTTGGAAATTTCAAAATAATCAAGTTAACAAAAATTAGGGCATTATTGTAACAACATAATTTTGAGACCAAATGGAGTAAAAAAAGTCTAGTGCCACTTTTTCTTTCGATAAATAGTTACCGAGATATCGTAAATTAAATATTGAAAAAATTACCAAGTTCTCCTTAAATATCTGAAAAAAATATTAAGCAAATAAAAAAATGTTTCACACACGAAAGTTGTTCAAATTAATTGGTAAAAAAAAAATTGGAGTTTCTATTTAAGAAAAGTGAGATGATCAGTTGTGAATATTTCAGTAAGAGTAGCGCCTCTTTATCCGGCTCCATCTGTAAACAAAATAATATAGTTGTTTCATGTCCCACTTGAAACCATACAACTTTTGTCTGAAACATTTTTTTTCTAAAATACTTTATAATAGTTTTCGAGATATTTCGCCGATATTTTTTATACACCCTGTATAATGTAGACATATGACATAACTTATTTTATCAAGTGTACGTAGACATCTTATATATCTTTATTTGTAACCTTTCGATTGTGTATTGTAGTTTGCAACTCTGTTTGCAATTTGTTTCGTTCTATCTTTCGTTTTAATGTTTTGACGGCCGCTGTCATGTATATACATAGCTCCATCCTGCCATCATAATTATCATTTTATGAGGAAATATTTCTTCGTGATAACAATTTATACAATTGCGATATCATAGGAGCTATATAAAGCCAGTTATGTACTAACGTACAAAAAGACTGCACGTTTCTTCAGATATCATCTAAACGAGCTCTTGAAATTTATCAACGACAGTCGAACTTTTTCTGACACAAGTGCGACCGTCTAAGTGTTTAGATCTTTTTAAGTTCATCTCTTCAGATGATGTAGTCGATCAAACAATCCGTACAGCATCTACAATCTACAAATGAACTTGAGACCATCTTAAGAAACGAACTACAAGCTTATTGCCAACTCGCATTACTTGTTACATCATGGACTGTTGCATCACATTGAATTAGCATTTGTGTCTTCCGGCATGGAGAGGGGTACAAAGTCGCGAGCGAAATGCTTTTGTAAGAGACCTCGTAATTTACACTAAGCCCGACTTCTTGTTTTACCAACACACTTTGTGATTCTTGCGCCCAGTCGAATTTATCGCAAGACTTCGTGCAACGGTTAACCGACTGCCTGCATCTATTCGAGCAAGTCCAAGATTTCTCTCTATCCGCAGGACAAAGTGCCAAACGAGCACCAGATCGCCGCCGACGTGCGCAGCTTGGTCCTGTGCTACAGAGACACCAAGTTCACCGGTCGCGCCGTGGCTCGCATCTTTCACGGGATACAAAGTCCGAACTACCCTGCGATGATCTGGGGCAGGTGTCGTTTCTGGCGGGCACATCTCGCCGCGAACTTCAACGGGATTTGCAGAATCGCCGCCAAGGAGATCCTGGCGCTGCGATGATAGCAAGACCGGGGTGAAATAACGATAACAACAGTCATAAGAAAATACAATTCTTCTCGCAGCTTACATTCAGTAAACCTTGTCGGTTAAATACGCGCAATTTTTTAAGGCTTCTGGTCCCTCGCCGTGAAAGGGTTTGTGTGAAAGAAGACTTCGGGCCGCTGGAATGTGCTTGCAGAGAGATCCGGACTTCTCCCTTGAAGGTCGATCAACGGTAGGATGACCGTAACACGAGGTTGTTCATACGGAATGATCGACTAGGCCTCATATAACAGTCATTTTGTAATTGTTCGGCGACCGTCAAGGAAGAAGCGTGGTGTTCGCATTTTACAATCATGCTCCAGCGACTTGAGGTATCCTTCCGTAGAAAATCTTCACTTGGAAATGGCGCGCAAGAATTTTCAAGCGTGTTACTTCTTACCTCATTAGTCGGCGAGCAGCCAGTAGCCTCAATTCGCGTAAGAAAAGAAAAGAAAAAAACGATAGACTGATGCCGCACGGGTGTCTTCATAATTTCTAAATAAGGCTTTCTTTATACATGACTGGTGTCATCCAAGTTATCGGTTATTTATGGTGATTGTTATATAATACTATAACACATTTATACATTTAACGGATAACGCGGTAACTTATTTTACGTTCGGATGTATCTATACCGAGTTTCAATATTTTAATGAAAGAAAATGAAATTGAACAACGTTGTTACAGGTGTTTTATGTGTGTAATAAAGTACAATTCGGGGGATAACATAGTAATATATTTTTTATAACAAACTGGAATCTTGACCAAGGGGATTTTACTGTAAACCTTCCTACGAAATTGTAATAAAAACGAAAAGAAGGAATAAAGGAACACAATACGAATCACTTTACCACGACGTCATAGATTTTTTTTTTTCTTAATACCTAGTATAAACTAGTACAAACTTTGCATCGAAAGAGAAGGGGGGGAGGGGATCACCTCCTGGGAGAAAAAGAGAGAACGAGTAGATATAAAACTTAACAAAATATAGATTAGTTATTTGTCGATAATTATCACCGTGTTAAAAAACAAGTGGAACAGTTATAACAATTCATAGTGGCTCGCGGTGGCCGGTTGCGATGATCGCTGCCACAAAGTCGACGACGACGAATCCGTTCACGTCACTACCCTCTTCATGTAGTTACACTGCCGCAAGAACTTGTGCATCCGAATCTGGTGTATCTTGCCGACGCGATTCATGCAGGTCTCGCTTTGGCAGAGAGCGCAGAATTCTGCGGAGATATCGTGGAACGGCGAGCGAAAGTACACGCTGGCGTTCTTCAGAGCCTTGTTCTTACGGTGCGCCCATATATGAAGAACCACCTTAATGTCAAATAGATCCGCCGGCACAGATTACCGATTTTAGCGATTCTAGATCTTCGCAAATACTTCCAAAATTTGATAGTATGCATGTCTACCTCGAAGATCATCAACAAAGCGAGGAACCAGCGGAAGTAGATGATGGCCGGCAAGAACAGGCAGATGGGGTTAATCTGACCGAAGGAGGCACCGGCCGGGACCGGCTCCAGTTCCATCAGGTGGCATTTCCTCGACGACTTCTTCAGGGATAGGCTCTCCTTCACCTCTTTCGGTATCTGCAGCGAGAGAAACGGCCTGCGATTATTATCTCAGCGCCGTCGATCGCGCCGAACGATCAAGTTTCCGTCAAGTCGCTTATCTACAGCCGCAGGGAAGCAGACGGCGGTGCTTCCCCTACTCCGACTCGGCATTCTCGTGATATTTGCGCTCGCGCGATACGATGTGCACATGGCATCATATCTCATTTGCAGAGCGATAATGAGTTTGAAAACGCACGCGTGTCGATGCGCGACGAACGTATTCCAAGTTAAACGCAGGCATCGAGAAGCGGCTAAATGTTCATTAAAGTCATCGCACTGACGTAAAGTGTCTAGAAGCGTGCGTGACGCAGAAGAAACATATATCGCGAGCGTGAATTGTTATTAATCGAGGCTACGCGTGTGCCCACACGAGCGTTCGTCGAAAGAAAAGCTGCATTACGTTCGTTTATACGCGAATCTATGCTTGCATGTAACTTATATGAATGAATTATTAATTATTAATAGCATGTAACTTATAAAAACTTATATAAAGCCACGTTACAAGTGATATGAATTTATACAGGGTGTTTCGGAAAAAAAGGATTCAGGACCAAGAACGGATAATACTCACAAAATGAAGGAAAAGGGTCCTGATAAACATGGGTTGAGAAATTGTAATACTGGCGGAATTATTCATTTGAATTCAAGCAAGTGACTTACTCGCTTCTGCTGCACGGCCATACATGGAACGCATTTCTGCCGTTTCCTAATTAGAGCAATTTTTACCGTACCTGTGGAAACTTTGTGACAACTTTCTGCAGTTGTTCATTCTGTTATTTGCGAGAATATATGACTAACAATTGCTCGGTGAAGCGTTGTGTAAATAGGTAGAAGGTAGATGTTTGTTTACATGCCGTGCACGAACGAAAAGACTTTTTAGGGACTCCTTTAAGGAGCTTAGTGCTCTCTTCACTGATAAATAACATAGATAACTTGCATCAAAGAATATAAAAATACTAGAAGCAAGTAAGTCATTTGCTTTAATTAAAATAAATACTTGTTCATAACTCCGACAATATTAATTTTCCGATCCATGTTTATTAGAACCTTTCCGTTTATTAGGACCGTCCATTTTGTAAGTATAATACTATCTGCCCTTAAAGCTCTGAACTTTTTCTTAAGTATCCTATATACACAGGATGTCCCACTCAAATATCTAAAAAATTGCGTTAAATCGAAAAATATTTCAGACAAAAGTTGTTTGGCTTGAAGGGGGAAATAAGACAGCGATAGCATTTTGTTTATAGATTCAAAACTATAATAATAATTTTGAAATTTTCAAAGCTCGATAAATTAACAAAAATTAGAGCACCATTATAGTAATATGTTCTTGATAGTAAATGAAGTAAAAATGTCTAATACTATTTTTTCTTTCGACGAATAGTTAGCGAAATATCGTAAGTTAAATGTTGAAAAAGTTACTAAGTTTTCCTTAAATATCTCAAAAAATATTAGGTAAATAAAAAAATGTTTCAGACAAAAGTTGTTCAAATTAGTTGGTAGAAAAAGATGATATAATAAAAGATTGGGATTTCTATTTAAGAAAATTGATGATCAGTGAATATCTCGGAAGTGGCGCCATCTATAAATGTTATATATAACTATAACAAAATGTTATCGCTGTCTTATTTCCTCCTTCAAGCTAAACAACTTTTGTCTTGAACATTTTTCGATTTAACGCAATGTTTTTGAGATATTTGAGTGAGTCTTCTAAAAAAACACCCTGTATGTATATATACAGAATAAAGCACCTAAAACAGGCCATCTAAATAACTTTGAAAATATATAAGAGAATAAAATGTTAAATACAAAAGTTTTAAAAGTTGTGGGGCTTTTTTTTTTAAAGTGACGCATTATATAACAATACTAATGTGACCTTGAACAGTGTCATCAAGAGTTACAGGAAAGTTACTTTGAATTTTTTTAATAGAAACCTCGATTTTTTATTATATCATCTTTTTCTGCTAATTATTTTGAATATTGTTCTGAAATATTTTTTCCATTTGCCTAATATTTTTATTTAAGGAGATATTTAAGGAAAACTTGGTAACTTTTTCAATATTTAACAATATGATTTTGAAATTTCTAAAGAATTACCAAGTTCACAAACAACAAAAGTTAAGACACTATTGTAACGGCATATTCTTGAGACTAAATGGCGCGAAAAAATCTAGTATCATTTTTGGTTCCGACAAATAGTTACTATAGAGATATCTTAAGCCAAATATTGAAAAAGTTTCAGACAAAAGTTATTCAAATTAATTGGTAGAAAAATTAAAAAATGGAGGTTTTCATAAAAATTCAAGATGATCTTCCCGTAACTTTGATGACGTTGTTCTTGGTCATACTATATATTGCTACACATCACGTCACAATGCATCACTTAAAATCCTACAACTTCTATATTTAACATTTTTTTCTATCGTCCATATTTTCAAAGTTATTCAGGTGGTCTATTTTACGTGTCTCACTCTGCATATACATAATAAATAAAAAAAAAAATATATATATAGATAATCAATTACTTTTTATGATTAATAATTAATTAGTAATTTCCTTGAATGATGAATTAATTTCAACGCAGCAGAACGCTAGCACTATTCCACGTTTGCAAGTAAACACCATGCACAAAGATTGGTTGAATTAATAATGAACGAACCGAGTAAATTTTTTCTGATTCTTGAATCAAATCTATTTCGCATGAACAGAGATTCTGTTTCCTTTAGTCAAAACACGTTTGAGACGTTCATGATATTCGACCGATTTTTGTTCTCTGAGCACTACTACTAGAAAGTTTGGAACACCCTGTTAATTTCCGGAAAAACATGATTTTATATAAAAGTTACAAGCTGTTTCAGACTTCTGAGTGGCAATATAGGCACAGGACTTTGATCAAAGGTAAAGATAGAAGAACGTGTCTCTCCAAGTGTCAACAATGAGACTATCAAATCAACATGACCTGTTTTTAATTGCGTATAAAAGTCACTCTAACTACCGGAAGAAAAAGTATTAAAATTGCCAGAAGAAAAATTATTAAAATTTCGATAACGATGCGTTTTATATTTTGTACTCTTTGCGCGTTCGAGAAATATTTTCACATTTTCTTCCGCCAACTCGATAATTATAATTTCTAAAAAATTCCTAAAAAAAAAATGAAGTTGCTTAAAAATAATTACAAAAAAGGATCTTTATTTCCTAATGTTATTTTTTAATAATGTTATTTAATAATATTTGTTTGCATTTTATTCTTTTATCGTTCATCTTCAGATTTTTTTCATGCCAGCCGTGCTGACATACCGAGTGCAAAGGATTAAAGAATGTTCGAGAATAAAAGCAAAAGAAACATTTTGCCCTTGCACGACGCACTTTTTCAAGAGCCCATCCTTTTGATCTCCCCGGTAGAAATTAGGAATCCGCAAAAAAACATCGATGTCAAGTGATCATCGATGATTATTTTTCGATGTTTCGATATTTTGGCATCGATGTAACGCCTTACAATATATCGATATTTTATCGATGTTTTTCTTCGATATTGTTTTTACACATTTAACTCTTTCGTACTTCTAAGACATATATGTCCCACTTATGAAAAAAATCGTAACTTTAAGACAAATAGTTCTAGTAAAAAGTAAATAGTTTAAAAAAGAAAGTGGATGAGAAAAATTGCAAGATAGTGCAGACATTGCAGCTAAAAAGAAAACAGCTATAAGTAAATAAGAAAAACGTAAACGGTAAGAAAATTGACCAATCACAGTCGATTATTCTCCTTATGGTCAAGAAACAATCAACTGTGATATTATTTTTACAATCGGTAAATAAGTTTATGGGTCTTTTTGTAAGAATTGAGATACATCCTGTTTATATCGTCTATTCTCATTTTTTTTTCTATAGCTTGTATTTCTTAATAAAAGAATCTGTGATGAGTGCATATTGCTATAAATTTTTTATGTTCTGTTAACAATATTTGCTTGTGTAATTCTTTTGTTGTATAATTCTTTTATTATATCGTAATCTTTATGCATTAAATAAAAAGAAATTAATTTCCTATAATATACAGTAATATACAGGGTGTCCCATTTTAAATCCCCCAGTTGTAACAATATATATTCTTCGGATCAAATAGAGTAAAAAAGTCTAGTACTATTTTTTCTTCCGACAAATAATTATCGAGATATCATAAGTTAAATATTGAAAAAGTTACCAAGTTTTCCTTAAATATCTCAAAAAATATTAAGTAAATAAAAAATGTTTCAAACAAAAATTATTCAAATTAATTGGTAGAAAAAGATGGTATAATAAGAAATTGGGGTTTCCATTTAGAAAAAGTAATGATCAGTGAATATCTCGGAAATGGCGCCATCTGTAAACAAATTGATATAGTTGTTTTTGTCCCCCTTGCAACCATACAACTTTTGTCTAAAACATTTTTCCGTATTTTTCTTCCGTAATATCTTCCATATTTTTCGAGATATTTGCCTAGGAGATTTAAAATGAGACATCCTGTACAAAATAAAAGAATTTAATTTTGAATAAAAACTTCGATGTCAAGTAAATATCGATGTTATAGAGTGGATATTTATCGAATATCGATATTAAGTTTCGATGTTAATTTCGATGTCACTCTTATCGATGCGGAACCCTAGTACAAATAGACAGCGTTAATCACCCGGTGGTTCTAGTGTTGAAACTCAGAATGTCCTGCGTTACCTGAAAAGGTACTCTCCTGAGATGACTTCTGGCCGTCGAGTGCTCGACGAGGCTGACTTCCGGCTCGCCGGTCTCAGCGTTGTTCACCGTCGTCGTCGAGCTGGCCAAGCAGTCGTGAATGTCGCAATCGACCAGCGGGTTGATTAGATCCTCGCCCGTCTCCTCGTCTATGAAGACTCGATCCATCTTCGTCTCTTCTCGCTCAGCGCACGTGCTCGCTTCGAGGAAGAAATAAACCGAGGTCGAAAGGTACTCGTTCGGAACCGATTGCTGGGTCTTCGGGGTCACTTCCCGGATGTCCACTGCGCATGCGCCTTATGCTAATTAAGCGCGGCGGCACACTCTGGCAAAAAGATTGCCGAAGCAAGTCGGGGCGAACGTGGTGCTGCTCTTCTTCAACTCCGCCGCTGCTCTCGCAGGCGATCTGAACAAAATTAAGTCTCGTTAAAATTCGATGGGCGCCAAGGGATGCGATGTTGAGCGCCCCATTTTTCTTGAATTTCGACTCTTTCCGCTTATACATGTATGTTGAGACAGAGAAGGAAAGAAAGGGACAGAGAAGGAGACAGTAAAATATTTATTTAGCTCTGGGTGAAGGAATATAAGACATGCTTTAAGTTTTGTAAGTTAAAGGCATGAAGAATGAAAATAAAGCAACAAGTTTTTACTGCAATTTTCTCTCTCCTTCTCTCTCTTTTGTTTCGTTTGTTGGATAAGCTTATCTAAACTGTCAGATAAATTTAGACGAACTGCTTCTTCATTAGGCATGTTATTGCACTTTTATTGTCCCCAAAGTAAACCAAGTTACGACGGAAAATTGAAGTTTATGGTTTCCATTTTCGCGTAGGAAATTAAAACATGTTTTTCACACGTACGTTCATAAAATCCTGCTGGAGGACTGCTGTACGTGGCAGCTTCGAGTAAAAAATTATTTTTAATGAGATGATTTACTTAAAAGAAAGTATCCTATTTATAAAATTTCCTATAGTCTCATATTTTAAGTGAAGCCTTTTAAGCCAGAAAAAAGATTTCTCTTTCGGTAAAGCGATTAAAGTGAACCATTCATCTAAAATTTATTAGACATTATTCTAACTGTTTTCCTCTTATTTCAAGGAGATTTCCTCTTATATCAATTAATTTTTCTCTTATATGAAGAGGAATATAAAAAAAAATGTGTTGCTATAACATATAACGAAGATAATATATTTGTTCAAATACAGTTTATAATCTATTGCAAGAAGTTGAATAATATATTCTTTCTTTTAACTATGTTTCATACAATTGGTTATGATGAACATGATCTTTGTAGCTATAAAGTCCATAACAAAACTGATTGGAAATTTATTTGTTATGATAATCTTATTTCATTCGTGCCTACTTATTGTAGAACTGAAGCCAGAAGTACATCTATATATATATATATATATATATATTACTTTTCATTATATTATAATAATTTTTTCCAATTAACTAGTACAATCAGTCAAGAATAAAGTACAATAAGAATAAATAATAATCCTCTTAAAAAATGATTAAATAATCTGTGTACGAGAAGAAATTTATTAAAATCGATAAAATTTGCATCATACAGGGTGTCCGGAATGTGATCATTAATATTTTGTGTACTGGTAGAACTCGTTAAAACAATTAAAAAAGTCCTGTGCCATTTTACAATTTTTTCAATATTTATTCCGTAATTAATTAAAATGTGTAAACGAATGAGCGCACGAGAAAGCGACAGGGCGGACTCCGTGTATAAGAAGATGGCTTACCTCGCGCGGCGAAAGGCAACCGTAAGCGACAAGAAGTATGCGCGCGCGACGAGGAGCGAGCGAGCGTGAACGACGAGCGAGCGAACGCAAGCGACAAGAGGCGGCCGCCCAGCGCTCTCTACGCGCTCATTGGCTCACATGTTTCAATTAATAACTCGATAACTATTGCCAATTTGACATTACGGTACATGACTTTTCTTCTCGGCTACACCCAATCTACCAGTACAAAATATTAATGATCACATTCCGGACACCCTGTATATATAACATATAATCTCTCTAACTTTAAGAATAATGTGTTTATAATATTTTCATCTTAATCTTAGAGGAATCCTCTCGAAGCTATGTATAAGAATAAAATTCCGTAAAATTTAAATGATGCCGCTTGTTCTGAAATTACTTTTTTTGGATGAATTCCCTTAGAAGTTTCCTTTCGAATGTTGTGGAGCTAAGCTCGGCCTTTGATCTTTACATTCGTAATCAACGCCGCAAAATTGACGAGAATCAATGCTTCAAGTCGGGGGTACAATTTTTGCGAAGGATCAATCGGTGACTATCCGCTGATTTACCGTGAAAAGCACCACCGCTCTACCTCTCACTGATCTTCACCGGAAAGTTCAAGAAAAACTAGTCATCACAAAGTCAGTAGTAACGAGTCTTTCTTGACCTTTCTGGTGAAGATCACTGAGAGGTAGAGCGGCGATGCTTTTCACGGTAAATCAGCAGATAGTCACCAATTGACCTTTTGCAAAAATTGCATCCCCGACCTGAAGCATTGATTCTCGTCAATTTTGCGGCGTTGATTACGAATGTAAAGATCAAAGGCCAAGCTCAGCTCCACAACATTTGAAAGGGAACTTCTAAGAAAATTCATCCAAAAAAAAAATAATTTCAGAACAAGCGGAATTTTTACGCTTACGACAAAAAATTAACGATTCCAGACGCTTCGCTTGCGACTGCACGATTTAAGTCTGCAAACTGCATTGACAATGAGAACAGTCGCTATTATTAACTGATGTTTTCCACGATACTTTGCTAATCGCACTGCTGTATTTATATTGGGTTGGCAACTAAGTGATTGCGGATTTTGTCGACAGATGGATTTTACACTTTCTTTTGTTTCGTTAACGTGTTCAAAGTACCTAACCTATATTTTTTTCTTATTGTTTGGACTTCTACCTTTCATTTAGTACAAAAATTATATCGATTAGTTGTTTAGTTTTGTTTTTATCCCAATTTAAAAATGAAAGAGCAAGACGTACACTTCAGACATATTTTATTGTATTATATATATATATATATTTCCGAAAAGGCAAGAACGCATCGCAAGCACATAAGAAGTTATGTGCCGTATATGGGAAGCCTTGAAAGAAAGGCAGTGTCAAAATTGGTTTGCCAGATTTCGTTCTGGTGATTTTTCATTGAAAAATACTCAACGATCTGGCCGTCCAGTTGAAGTCGATGAGACCCATATCAAGGCCATTATCGATTCAGATCATCATAGCACAACATGTGATATTGCAGAGAAGCTCAATGTATCGCATACATGCATTGAAAAAAATTTAAAAAAGCAAATTTAAAATTTTGAATTTTCATTCTTATTTAAAATCCGCAATCACTTAGTTGCCAACCCAATAACTCAATGAAGCAGTAGTATGATGAAGTAGTAGTAGTAGTAGTAGTACAAGCGCAACATTTCAGTGATGAGTACGCTAGTTCTGCCTCGAACTTCGGAGGGAGCTACGGCAACGAATTGCGAAAATAGACCTATCAGTCATTTCCTCCTCTACTTTAATTCTTCGGGAGTAACTTCGTAATTTCAAATGGGACCTCTTATAAAATGTTACGCATTTGGATTCTACAGAAAGAAACAAGTAAACTTTATCTAGAATATTTCTTTAAAAAACACTTCTATCAAAAGTTAAACATTTAAACATTACAGCAAAGTACATTCAGACTAAAAAACCATAAAATATATAAAATATATAAAACTATAAAAAAGACTCCTGCTGTCGTAACAACTAAACGTTTGCTGTTTGATAATTATACGAGGAATCAAACAGTTACCGCAACAAATCATTCCTCGTTATTTGTAATTTTAACAAGTATACATCGTTGGAGATACAATACTTGTTTGTTGGATGTACAACTTCTAGTAAAAAGAATAGCAACGTCGTAGCGTAATATACCGAATGCCTCACGTAAAGTGTGACAACGCAAAAACTCTAAAAATATTTGTCGTGTCACAAAATTGTTCATGACAAAGTTTCGTGTATTCGAGAGGTCTTTCCAACTATCCAAACAAAAGTCCGCCCCGCTCTCCCTTGATGGAAGGTGGAAGATAAGTTCATAATTTCAAACCTCCTATAAAATGTTACACATTTGGATTCTGCGGAAAGAAACAAGTAAACTTTATCTGGAACATTTTTTTAAAAAATACTTCTATCAAAAGTTATAAACATTTAAACTTTACAGTAAAGTGCATTCAAACTAAAGTAATAAAAACTAAAATAATAAAACCATAAATTAAATAAAAGACTTCAGAGTTTTTCACATTTTTTATTTTATTAAATATCTGAACTGTTAAGCATTTATTAATTCTTTTTACAAAATTTTGTTTAGCTCTACAATACCTAAGACAAAAGAAATTTTAAAACGAAGAATACGTAAAGCTTGTGTTAGTGTGACTCCAGAAATGTTTAAAGTTAGACAAAATTTTGTAAAAAGAATTAATAAGTATTTAAATATGATTACTTAACAGTTTAAACATTTAATAAGTAGAAAGTAAATAATAAGTGAAATACTAAATAAAATAAGTAAAAAATAAATAAAATAATAAATAAAGAAGTGAATAAAAAATATTTAATAAATAAAAAGTAGATAATAAATAAGAGTAAAAGAATATGAAAGACTATGAAGTCTTATTTAATTTATGGTTTCATCACTTTAGTTTGAATGTACTTTACTGTAAAGTTTAAATGTTTATAACTTTTGATAGAAATATTTTTTAAAGAAATGTTCCAGATAAAATTTGTTTGTTGAAATTACTTCCCATTCCCCTTCAAAGAAGAGAGGGCGAACTTTTATTTATATAGTTAGAAAGAAATTTATATAGTTAGAAATTTATATATTTAAAAAATATTTTTATCAAAAGTTATAAACATTTAAACTTTATAGTAAGTAAAGTACATTCAAACTAAAGTGATGAAACCATAAATTAAATAAGACTTCATAGTCTCATATTTTTTTATTCTTATTTATTATCTACTTTTTATTTATTAAATACTTTTTATTTATTTCTTTATTATTTTATTAATTTTTTACTTATTATTTTATTTAGTATTTTACTTATTATTTACTTTTTACATCTTGAATACATAAAACTTTGTCATGTTTGATACGACAAATATTTTTAGTTTTTGAGTTGTCACACTTTACGTGGACCATCCTGTATAGATAAAAGTATCTCTAAAAGTGATTTAAAAGCTTTTTTGAAGTAGCTACGAACCACTTTTACAAACTTTTTTTATTGATAAAAGTAGGTTTGCAGTACCAGGCTTTTGTATGCATATCCCCCTTAACCTCACTTAACCTTATCCAAGAGTTTAAATTTATTTTATATAACGTGTCTTGCTAAAGATAAAGATTAATG